CTATCCAAATCTGGTTCGGCTTAGAAAAAGTTTAGTATAACTAAATTACTATTAACATACTAATATGTATAATAAGTTAGCTATAAACTTGGTTTTATTTTTTCTCTCTCACTATAAATTCAGTGTAATATTTTCAAGTATATGTATAGCTAACTCTAACAGCAAAGCCAACACTCATAATTTTTTTAATCTTTGTCACACATAAGCTTATGGAGTACTCAATTATTATCCTCATAGAGCAAGTACAATACAATTCAGATAATAAATCAGCTACAAATAAACGTGGAGAAGAAAGATAGATTCGGAACGTGCTACGAGATAGTGTTTGCGTATGAGAGATGAGCCAAGTATTAATGTATATGATATGTTTATATGAAACTAATGTACGTATAGTATAACTAATGATGCTTTTATATTTTAAGACGGAGGGAGTACTAGTTAACACATATTTTAAATAATCTATAACTAGACATTCAGTACGTAGTAGTTCCATATTTCTAAATTATTTAATTCACAGTAATACTGAATTGAAATTGTAATATATATATATATATATATATATATATATATATATATATATATATATATATATATGTATATATGTATGTATGTATGTATGTATGTATGTATGTATGTATGTATGTATGTATGTATGTATGTATGTATGTATGTATGTATGTATGTATGTATGTATGTATGTATGTATGTATGTATGTATGTATGTATGTATGTATGTATAATTGCTTGTAACTACCATTGCAATGGTACTAGTCAGCTAATTGATCAATTCCTTCTCGCCCTAGATTTTAATGGCCATCGTGTAGCAAATGGAGTACATAAAATGTCAATCCTCATCTCCCCTTCATATCTTTTTAATTTAGAGACCTCTGTATAGTCGATATGTCGTACGTTCGCTAATTAATTTTACCTGATGTTTGCTAGAATTTGTAGTGAGAAACCAATATATTTTAATATCAAGTTTATATGTATGGAACATATATAAATTCATGTCTTAAATTTACTTCATATATTTAATGTATAATTATAAAATGGAATCATTGTTAGACCTTGCAGACCATGAAATTTTATACTACCTAGATTGCAATTGTTTGGTGTCTTGACATTTTTTCTTGCACCTTTTCTTACATATATTGGCGGTGGTGAAATATTTATTGGGTTAACTTAGGTAAAACCGTTATAGCAATAATTGACTGAGAGTATTATCTATGGTCAATTTAGTAGTTCATCCTATAATAGCTAGATATATAATTACACCACATCTTTCTATCATGGGGTTTATTAGAGCCCATGTTCCAACTGGATATACATATATGTGTAGCTTTTTTTTTATCTCACTCTCGGTACAAAATTAATGTGACAGTATATGTAACATTCTTATATTATTATTTTATTGTACTCCTGGCTATTTGCTCTCAGTCACATGCTCTAAAACCCCTGGTTGGAAACTTGGAAAATGCGTTTGGGTTAAAATAAATCACTACTACAGTATATATAACTCCAGCTAGTGGAAGCAAAGCGGGGGGTGTCTGGATTTTAGTACATGTCACATCGAATGTGTACGTAGACACTAATTTTGAAGTATTAAACATAGACTAATAAATACTCCCTCCGTCCCATAATATAAGAGATTTTGAGTGTTTGCTCGCGCTGTTTGACCACTCGTCTTATTCAAAAAAATGTGAAATTATTATTTATTTTTTTTGACTTACTTTATTATTCAAAGTACTTTAAGCACAACTTTTCGTTTTTTATATTTGCACAATTTTTTTGAATAAGACGAGTGATCAAACAGTGCAAGCAAAAACTCAAAATCCCTTATATTATGGGACGGAGAGTAAGAGCTAATCCGTGAGACGAATTTTTTAAACCTAATTAATTCATAATTAGTAAATATTGACGGTAGCATCACATAGCCTAATTATAAATTAATTAGTCTCACTAGATTTATATCACGGATTAGTCTAAATTATAAAATAGATTTTATAATTAATTTATGTTTAATATTTTAAATTAGCGTCTAAACATACCAATTCCCTTTAGACTAAACAGGGCCGCCACAGCCAGCCAAGTGTTGTTTGGCAGATGGTCAGGTTGAGAAGACTAGGCGAGATCGATGACTCAACTGAAGTGGGTAGCGATGGGCCCCCACACGACGACGCCTTGCAATTTGAAGGGCCACACTGCCACAGAACCGAAGGCTGCTGCTGTAGCTGGCCGCTGCGTCTGCTCCTCTCCTGCCATGCACGTAGTACGTACTACGAGCCCTTGTTCGCGTGGCACCGGCAAGTGTGTGCATGTGCTGCCTCATGCCCATCAGCACCTGTGCATGCGTGTGTGTGGAGAGGCAGCAGACGCAAAACGCCGACTGGCTAGCTACTCCTCCCGCTCCTGCGTTTGCAGCAGCAGCGTTTGCACTGTACTACTACTACTGGCTGGCTAGCTGCTCCGACCAGGTAAACAGTAACTATATCGGGCAAAATCTTTCCCGGCCATTTCTGGTGTTGTAGTAGTAATTTCTAACGCCAAGCCAGCAAAAGAAGAAAAAGAAAAAGAAAAAAATCATTGCTCTAGCTCCATCTCCATATACTACGTGTGGCCTACTGGGTTGTGTGGTCTGTAGATGATCGGCGATCGGTGTGTGAGGCTACGGAGATGCATGGCGCAGGGTGGGGCGTGTTATCGGCCGCGGGTCGCGACGGCAACCTCGTATTGGTCCCCCGTCCCCGGGGCGACAACCCCGCGGAGCACGTATTCGTGCCGTCGTCCTGCGTGCCCACACCTTGCCTCCCCATCCGCCACCGCTCGCCCGGATCTACCGTCCCTCCACGTCGCAAAAACCGGGACCGAACCTAGCTATAGCCAGTAGCCGATCGAGGGGCCTATCTATATTTTGTCAAACATTTTTTTGAAGATGTAAATACAATACTCCCTCCGTTCCATAATATAAAGGATTTTAAGTTTTTCTTACAATATTGACCAGTCGCCTTATTCAAAAAATGTTAGAATTGTTATTTTTTTTTGACTTACTTTATTATCCAAAGTATTTTAAGCATAACTTTTCATTTTTTATATTTGCACAAATTTTTTAAATAAGGCGAGTAGTCAAACATTGTAAGCAAAAACTTAAAATCTCTTATATTATGAGACAGAGGGAGTATAATATAGTAGTGTAATTACACGGTAACAACTATGCCCAAATACATTCACAGAATTAGATATTTTTTTTGGACGGAGAGAGTACAATATAACTTTCGTATAATTTTGAAACTGTCAAATTTACTTTAAGATTCATACAAATAGAGGAGGAAAAAACACACGTACTCTATTTGTTCAGATTCATGATACATCCTAGATTGTCATTTTTTTAAGGATGGAGGGAGTAAGTACGGGGATTTGGTCCCGACTTTCGCTTCGCATGAATAACATGTTATCGTAGTATTTGAAAGTTTACATTCGTTAAATATTTGGAACAAAACTGGTAGCCGAGCACTCTCGACGGTCGCTACGTACTGAATCACCCATCCGGCCACATAGAATCAGTGCGTGGCGCACGCACGATGGCGAGCGGTGTGGGCTTCCATCATCATCATCAACTGAGAAAAGGTGGCAGTACAGTACACTGGGCTCTGGGATGGCGAGTCATGTTCCATAAATTACTGCTACTGTATCTGGATTATGCCCGATTGACGTCCATCCATCGATCATAAAGTCATAAACCCAGCAGAGCATGCAGCAGCACAAACTGCACAAGGCAGCGGTTGTGCCGCTAGCTATAGGCAACGAGGGTGTTTAGATCCAGTTTTAGCATGCCACCTCGAATATTATATATGGTGTTTCATGAGGTATTTAAACACTAAAAAAAATAATTATAGAATTAGTCAGTAAACTACGTGACAAATTTATTAAGCTTAATTAATCTGTTATTATCATATATTTACTGTAGCACCATATTATCTAATTATGGAGCAATTAGACTTAAAAGATTAGTCACAATCTATATATTTTTAGCCTATATTTAATACTTCTTATAAGTGTTCAAACGTTTGATATGATAGGGTAAAAAATTTTAGGGTGAAATGTAAATAGCACCTATAGCTATAGCTATAGCTCGTCGATTGGTATCCATAGACCATAGAGGTAGTATCTCTCTCTGTACATTTTGTCGCAGAGAGATCAGAGATCCCTTGCAGATTGCAGCTGCTCGTCATCCTTCAGCACATCGCCCCTCGCCTCCTCCTCACGCCGCTCATCAATACCCTCACTAGCAGGACAAAGTAGCGGTCGCGCCCGTATTTTTCCAGGCTAATGCATTCGTGTTTCACTTGCAGTTCCAAATTTACTCTACGCCATGACAAGCCTTTCTCTATCTACCAGGCTGTGAACATTAGTTTTTCCTGCAGAAAATTTTGGCAGAATTTAACTTGTTTCAAGTGTCAAATCAACTCAAATGTACTCCTGCTCAGATGATTTTACAGTGCTGTCCCCCTGGACCGAAGCCGTGGTTTTTGCCAGCTACAGTACCAATCCTGCAGCTGCAAGGCTGCAAGAGTAGGGCAATGAAGGAAAAAGGTTGAGGTCGCCTTGCACCGAAATGGGCCGCGTAGCTGCGAGAAAACGGCACGGGAAAGCAAAAGCTTCTGCGTTTTCTGTGGTTTCTGGGGATCGAAATGGGGAAAGAAATGGCGCGGCAGCAAACTGTAGCCTGGCAGCTCCTGTAGCCTTTCGGCACCGGTGAAGCTTCTCCACTACCGGAACGGCACTGTTCCGGGATGCTGGGCCAGCAGTGGTAGAATAGAAAGATACACATACACTGATACGCATGTGCAACGCTCGTTTCTATATTTGTGTACATGGATTCTCCAGTTCCATCTCTGTAGATTGATCGGCCCTGTTTGTTGGCAAAGGCTGTGTTTAGATCCAAAGTTTGGATCCAAACTTCAATCCTTTTCCATCACATCAATCTGTCATACACACACAACTTTTCAGTCACATCATCTCCAATTTCAACAAAAATCCAAACTTTACGCTGAACTAAACACAGCCAAAATGTTTTTCTAACATGTGTGGACTTTTGATGAGGAGGCACAGGAGAATGGCACTAGCAGTAGTAACAGACGGATGATCACTGTTACAGTGCTGCCCATGTCAAACTGGAATCCTGGATGAGGGCACAATGTGCAACTGGAATCCCAAGCAGGTAGGGATCCAAATTATTTTATTAATGGACTGGCTGTGATTAGCATTCGTAATGGTACGTGGTTCTGCAATGCAGTCACAGTTTTTACCGAATACATTGTAGCAGGGGTAGTGTGTTTCAGGTCTTCCAGACGAGGTTCAGTTGAGTTCAGTGCAGCTTGTTTGCGACGTAAAGGAGGTGGCTGATGTTTGTTGGGGGGTAGTTCTGCAGGAGCTTGAGATTGGAAGTGAAATCACCAGCCAATAGGCGTTTTCGGACAAGAATCAGCATTGCACAGCAGATTCTGAGCAAGGTCTCCTGCACTCGGCAGATAAAGTTTCAGGCGACGAACTGGAAAAACCAAGCCTTGCAGGATAAACCAGGGTGTTTTGTTTGCTACCTGAGGACCATCAGGATCACTTAATAGTGTGTCCCATATGTGAATAGTGTCAGCAAAGTTGAACTCCTGGGTTAACAGTAGCGTAATCCACCGGAATGCGTAGAACTGAGGATTAATCTGCAGAAACAGAAACCATGCTTGTGTTAATTTTGCTGCAGGCACAAATAAGGATAGCAGTGGCAGTAGTGTGGATTTCCTGCTACAATGTTTCCTAGCATGATGACAAAACTACTGTATGAATTATTAGGTCCATGCCAGATCGAAATAGATGCAATGTAGTTTGAACACTACATAAAGCAAATCTGTCAGAGGACCACACTAAACACATCAGAAATTGACAGTACTCAGTACAAAGAACATACTTACTTCTGTTGTTATTTCCAAATAACGCTGAAGCTCTCCATCATACTTCGCAACAAGTTGCGACAGTTTTGAGAGAGTACCTTGAATGCCAACAGCACTGTTGTCTAGTTTCTGGCAGAAGTTGTCTCTAAACCCACTAAGTAACTCCATGAAGCAGAAGAAAGAATCAGCTTCTGCAAAGTTCTGTAGGGATTCCGGATAGCAAAATAAAATCATGGTTAGATAGTCCCACAGAAACTATTGCTATAACGAACAGCAACTGACTACAGTCTGCTCTAAATCATACAGGGCATTAAGCATATATATGGTAAAACAATTGCTTACTCCATACAGCATTTTTATCATCTGGATCATTCCGAAACACAAAGAAGAGAGGTGCCAAAATTTCATTCATCCCTTGTACATAACGTATTCCGGCATTCAGCTTTGCAAAGATAATCAGTATATTTTTCAGAGATTCCTGGTAAGGATGACCTATGATCAGTCAGGTTTCTGAGCAGAACTCTGTTTAGACTTAGATAGTGGAGTTCACCTGATTGGACTTTGCAAAAGATGAGTCTCCACAGAAAAAATGCATGTCAGGGTGAGTGCGCTTCACATCACGGTCAATTTGCTCGATAATCTCTGAATACTGCACGAAAGATATATGTCAAAGCTGATATAAATTAGTAGTAACATCAGAATGATGCAAGCTGGTGAAAAATACAAACATAGGGTGCGCGTACTAGAACAAAAATCTGATCCTCCTAATACTAAAATGCAAACCTATTCTTTTAACCAGCACGTATTTGACTAATTATGTAGTCCCCAAAATAACAAACTGAAACAAAGAAGAGCACAATAGTTTAGAGATTAGCATCATGTCAAGTGGTTTACAATATTCTAGTTATGCTTGGTCTTTTCTATGATCAAATCACAAAAGCTCCAAAATAGTTCCAAAAGAATGTAAGCACATCTGCTACTGGCACCAATCTAGTTCTAATATAAGATCTAAGAAGATGCAACTAGTCACAATGTGACAATAATTTGTAGATGAACAAACAAACAACAACAACAACATATGTAAAAAGATCCATATCCAAAGGCAACAGTGGGCACCTCAAAGAACTGATTCCATGCAGTTGTCTTCCCAAGGCTCAATGGGTGCTCTTCTTGTGTAACCTCTGATCTATGAAGTAACCCATTATATATACTCCCTGCATTCTCACTCCCTTGGCCTTCTAATTCCCGTTGCCGTGCAATTTCCATCTACCTAACAGAATTAGAATTCAGGATCTCTATTTTGTAGTGAGGTCTAACAAGCAAAAAGGGATCTCAGGTACTATACTACACCGCACGTGTATCTTAAAATTACAATCAAAATAGAGAAAGTCACAAATCTGAATCTGAAGGGGCATACAGGGTTGCTAAGGAATTCTTCTTTAAAGGCTGCGTACTGTGATCTCTTCTTTGCCAACTCCTGCTCCCACAGGGCACGATCACTCGGCAAATAGCCCAGCAACAGCTGCAAAACTAACATAGATTTTATCACACATAAAGCATAACTTTTTGAAGGCTGGCATGCTGATCACATCAAATTAACTAACAGAAAAAAAACAGCAGCCCTGAGTAGATGAACAATAGGACCATAAGGCCGATTTTAATCGGACATTACGTCATAAAGGATAGGGGTAAAGGATTAGACTAAATAATGGACATGTGTAATCAACGATCAGAAACATAAGACAGTAGAATAATTGAACAATGTCTAGACTCTAGAACGCAACAGAAAGTAATCTACTGTCATTACGCTCATGAACCTAACCTCCAAACCTGTACGGCTGTACCTACGGAACGATCCGAGATTAATGAAAAGACGAGCAAATCGAGAGCACCTTCCACACAGTAGGACGGACGGCGGCGCCGTCAGGGACCCCCTGAGCAGCCAGCATCCTCAGCTCATCGAGATCTATCACCTTCTTGGACAGCTGCGCCAATTCCCCAACCCACAACGACCCATCAAAGCTGAAAAACAGTAAGCCAAATACGAATACACAGAGCCTAGTAACGCGATATCTTCAGGAAATCTCACCGCCGCGAGGAGACGGGACTGCCGCGAGATCTCGAACTCCGGCGGAGGGGGCGCCCCCGGCGGGGATCGCGGTGAGGTCGCCATGGATTTGGAATTTTGGATGACGTCAGAATATCTGAATTTCTTGGGCCCTGGAAGATACGCATCGCGATCCGTTCTGGTCCGTAGATCTTGTGGGACCCGGTGTAATACGCTCATGGACGGCTCAGATCGTAAGCTTACTTTTCATGCTTAAGTAGGGCCCACTTCACGGTCTCATTAAAGCGGCCACCAGTTTCATGTGGGCTTCCTAATAATTGAGAATGTGTACTGGGCCGAAATTTCGGCCCAGCTATGAATCCCAGTTTAGTCGTAGCTCTGTCACAGGCCTAACTGAAGTGCAAGCCCAACAATTATGTACAGCATCAGAACCAAACTCTGAACTTTTTTCTTTTTTATTTCATAATTATTACTGTTTTTTTCCCTCGAATACGCTTATACACATAAGAGCTACGTATCATTGCGTTAAGAAGAAGAGAAGTACAAGTAGACGGGCATTACAAACACCAGATCATAATTAATTTACAGATAGATCTTTGACGTACGATCAGAGGCAAAGATAAGAAGAGGACCAAGGTATTGAACAAATGACAACATATGCTCTCTCTTCATATCAATCGCACACTCAAAAAAAAAAATCACCAACTTGTACTGTGTTGGGAACTACTAAATCATTTTGACACCTAACAAAGCTTGCGAATGATGCTTTCATTGGATTGTGACGATAGTGACAACAAGATTATAGATACCATCTCGTGTTTGGCACATAATTAATCTCTGTCAATATCAAGTATTAGTAGTCGGTGCAGGAAGCTGAGGCGAAGTAGATAGGAATGCTCTGCAAGAAAATGATAACGTTAGAGGTGATCAACTAGACGAGTAAGTCAGAAGGTCAGGCGTAAGTGTACACGCATATATACCAAGTGGAGTATTTTACGGTGCAGATGACAAAGTGACGTATATATGTTCCTAGAACAAAATCGAGTGCACAAGTCTGAAACTCTGAATTTGACTAGGCCAGGAACAAATTGGTCTTTCTCAACCCGTCTTAAAAAAAATTGGTCTTTCTCTGGATGAACTGTGCTGTTAGTTGCAATATCAAGCGTTGAGATCTTTGTTATGGGTCAGCTTTTCAGAGCATTTTCCATGTGTGTATATAATAGTCTTATAATGGGAAAATTAGCTGGTCTGAGACAAAAATCACACAAAAAGGGCTGACCACGGAGTAGTTGTTCTGGTCTTGCAGCTTGCAGGTTAAGGCCCCTAGTCACCCATGTGTTTATCCCAGCATCATAAGTCCCCTCCATGATTCTTTTTGTCTGCCTTAATTGCAGAAGTCCTTTTCATTACTTGCAAATTATAATCGGTAAATTTACATTTAATATAGATAAGTTTTGATGCTCTGGCATTTGAACAGAAGATGGAACTAGTGAATCTGTGATGCGGATATTCAGTGTGCGATAATTTTGCAGCAGCTCAACTCTGAAGCCGACAGCGCCGGCAGCAATAGTGTCATGCATGAACACACATATGCTGAAGTGTTAAACAGGTCAATGATTAATCTGGTCCCACCCCATCAATGTCATTAGCAGTCATCACCTCCTGAACTAAGATTACTGCAATGGTGACATTGGATTGCTGCAAGGGGCAAATTAACCTCCTTCTCAGTGGCCCAGAAATGGCGTGTCTGAAAGGTCAAACTATACCAGAAGAAAACTAGTGTACTTAGGAAATTTGTTTGGTAAACGAAGTGATCAGATATCTCAAGCGATCTAATAACCATCTATCTTAACCGATAAGTTGAATCTTTTTTTAGGCCATGATGTTTGGTATAAGCAATTCTTAGGGCTCGAGAAAAGGTAAGCTCAACAGAAAGCTAGGTATAACTAGCATAGGTTCTTTCCTCCAGATTAATGCATAGCTAGGTATAACTAGCATAGGTTCTTTCCTCCAGATTAATGCATGGACCTCTTCTTCATGTCATGCACAGACTACTTAATTTATCCATGGAATTAAACATAGTTCGTAGCTAACCAAAATATGCTCTATAGAATAATCTTGGAACTAACCTTTGGCACTCCGAAGAAGCAAAAAGTGCTCAAAAGTGCACATTTAAGAACAGTGCATGTCAATTCAACTGCACTATTTATATTCTGTAGAATTCTTTAGAATTGCTACACTTGATGCAACAGATCAAGCATGGTTTAATCCATCCAAAAAGAGATAAGTCTCACAAAAACCATGCACCCTACTCGCCACGTCCGCCGTTCATGCATGTGGCCGAGACATCCCATAACCCACAACCAACTTGCTACTAATTACTCGATTAGTAACTAATCGCGGGGCCGTACAAGGGGGACTAAACTAATCAGGCGCCACGTCGGATGTGCTTACCACGTCGCCTCCCCCGGATAGAGCCCAAGGTGGTCGCCTCGCCGCGGAGGCGGGGGCGATGCTGAGCTGTCACTGGCTGTTGCTTCCTTTGGGCCGTGGTGGGCCCATGCGGATGAGGACGGGGTGGGGCCCACGGGGGCGCCACGTCGACGTTGTGGGGGGAGGCTTATGTGGCGCTTGCTCGTTCCAAGAGCCGGTTTAGCTACTCGACCTCTAGGAGGCGACGCGACCACGCACGCCCACGGCGCCCGCGTTTGCCAGCCAGATTTTTGCGGTTTGATCCCTTGGTTACTTGTGAACTCTGTAGAGGGGCTCGTGCATTTTTGCCTTATGTTAGCGTTTTGTGTCGGCCACTTGTGTAACTAGTGGTACTATAAATTAACTTAGCTACCATCCATGATCTTTGTGTTTTGATTGTAAAAGACTTTTTGGTGAATGTAAGAAAGAGTTTTGAATAATTCTATACTTTATACTAATTCTGTCCCAAATATAAATATTTTTAGCTATAAATCTATATAATTGTGTGTTCAGATTTATAGCTAAAACTTGCTATAATTGCTCAATATACATACTTTTTTTTCCTCATATGATTACGTTCCATAAATAAGTTTGTGCAGTTGACGATGGTCAGCCCGTCTTAAACCAACCTCACGTAGTCACGTCCTCACCACGCACAGTGTAGAGAAGGATAAAGGGCTTTTGTGAAAATAAAATTCTACCCGGGGGCTTCCATCAAAAAAGAACAGCCGTTCAAAGGACCGCAGTTTTTGGATTTCTATATAAACCTTCAAAAACCCGCGGCAATTGCCCTCAGATGCATAGTACTCGCACGCCGCGACGCCTCTGCTGAACATTTCGCTCTCTTCCAAGATATTTTTTCCTCCCACGATTCCTTCCTCCCATCCCTGTGGGGATTCATCGGCTCATCCGTACTAGCACAAGATGTGCGAGGGTGTGCGGGCCGCCGGCGACGCCGCCGCCGCCGCCGACGTCGACGTCATCACCTCCTCCGGCCGCCGGAGGATCCCCGCGCATTCCACTGTTCTTGTAAGCTTCTCCTCTTTCATCAGCAAATTCATGAATCCTTTTAGCTGGAGATAGTTTCTGTGGTCAAATTCTGGTTGGCGTCGGGCGTGTTCTGACGAGGAAATCTCCGTTTAATTCTTTGTTTGTTTGGTTTGATCACCAGGCGTCGGCGTCGCCGGTGCTGGAGAGCATCCTGCAGCGCCGCCTGAAGAAGGAGAGGGACGCCGCCGCCGGCGGCGGCAAGGTCCGCAGGGCCGTCGTCCTGATCCGCGGCGTCACCGACGACGCCGCGGCCGCCTTCGTCCGCCTCCTCTACGCCGGCAGCAGGTACCGTGCCCTCGTCCATTCCATTCGGCCATTCCCCTCTAGGATGGGATTTCTGCTGGTAGTCTTTGCTTTTCGAGCATCCGTTTCTTGCAAAAGATGGGCGATTAGTTGAAGAATTAATGGTCTTCGAAGACTAATTACTCGTATTAACTCACGAGGGGGAAAGAAAAACATGTCACACGTGTAGGCCACGCTGACAAGAAACTCGATCTCTTCTTCTATGGTTTAGTTGAAAATTATATATTTTTAGTTTATTTTTTTATTAGAGGGTACGTTTTTTCTGTTGATCATGGTAGCAGTAATTGGCTACTAATAATTGCTACCTAAACTATGAAAACGGTAGATACGACGAAATGATGTTGAAAGTTTTTAAGCGATGATAAACAGTGGGTGAAAATATGCTTAATCACTATTCTGTATCTGTAGCAGAACGAGCAAAACCTTCGGAGCGAATGCTGTAGGAAAAAAACTGAAAAAAAAAATCTGGTGTCCAAAGTCCTTGCTAGATAGGCAGTCCAATCAAGGCAGGCCCGGCTAAACCACGGATATTTTCTTCATCTATCACACAGCTTACAGATCCAATGAACCATTCCAAGAATCTCGCTAAGTGATTAGACAGATCGCTTTGGCAGCCTCCGTGATAAAATCCCCTCCAAGTTGGCCAATTTGCCGATTTTTTGTGCCTCATCAAACTGTGCGAGTCTTGACAAGGCAGGTCAGGTAAGGTGACACAACACAACCCCACACAAATGACACAAACAGAGCATCGAAACATCGCCATCTCCAGCTCCGAGAGCCGTAAACAAATCTCGTGGAGCAGAATCCATGCCTTGCCTCGGCGCGTCGACTTGGACGGCACAGACAGAGAAAAAAAAAGAGAGAAAAAGTAGTAGTAAAGCGAAGCAACGATAAGTACTAGACCACTAGAGCAGTAGGAGAAGTCGAGAAGAGGATGATTTTGGCTTTCTTTTTCCGCCGCTTGGTTTGGAGTTTGGTGTGGTAGCGCCTGCCTAGTTGGAACCCTCCCCTTGCAGGCGAGCACCAAGCAGGCAGCCGATCTCGTCGGCGCCACAAGAAAAATCGTTGCTGTCGCTGGTGCGGCTTGCAGGGCCGGGACCGCTCGCCGCCTCAGCCATCATCTCGTGTTGGTTTTTGTTGAAAAAAAAAAAGAACTCTCTTTTTGTGTGTGGAGATGCAGAGGTAGGGACCTGCCCAAACTGTCCCAGTGTCCCGATCCGTTTGAAACGAATGAAGACTTTCGTGCCTTTCTCAACATTAGTAATAGAGTAAATTTCACAAAAGTAGAAGTTTTATGGTTCAAGTTGCAGAAAATCACACACATTTTGACACTTGACACTTGACACTTAAGTACATATATTTCGGTAGTTTAGTTTCATAAAACCACACTATCGATGAATGGATTCACCCGTGAGATGATATGGTTGTTCCACCCGTGAGATGACGTGGTTGTTCCATCTAAGATGAGGACGTGACATCATATTAATTTCGTGCGATGGCTGGTAATAGAATGCCATGTCCTCGTCTTAGGTGTAATAGCCACATCATCTCACGGGTGAATCTATACATCGATAATGTAGTTTTGTGAAACTACACAACCAAAATATATGTACTCAAGTGCCAAGTGTCAAAGTGTATGTGATTTTCTGTAACTTGGACCACAAAACGTGTAGTAGAAATATTTGAGAAAAAAACATTTGCATATTAGACGTGCTAATACTGTGTAAATTTTGTTAACTAATTGTGCAGTGGTGATGAGGAGGAGATTGACGAGAAGAGCGCGGCGCAGATGCTGGTGCTGGCGCACGCGTACCGGGTGCCGTGGCTGAAGCGGCGGTGCGAGGGGGCGATCGGGTCGCGGCTCACGGCGGAGTCGGTGGTGGACACGATGCAGCTGGCGGCGCTGTGCGACGCGCCGCAGCTGCACCTGCGCTGCACCAGGCTGCTCGCCAAGGAGTTCAAGGCCGTGGAGAAGACCGAGGCGTGGCGATTCCTCCAGGAGAACGACCCCTGGCTCGAGCTCGACATCCTCCAGCGCCTCCACGACGCCGACCTGGTATACATCATTATCGCTGTTCATCAACATGGTAGAATTTTACAGGAATTTCACACAAAAAAAATTCAAACTTTGAATTGTGCACTCGATGTGGTGTGGGGTATCCATGTTGGGCGCTTTTGTAAATGGCTCTGTGACACACGGTTCCATTGACACCGAAATGCATGGGAGGATTTGCACAGTGGGTCGTGCACTAGGGGAACATGATTTTGAGCGTGTTTTACTGGGATCTTTCGAGCCTTAAGTCCCTGGAATAGCCGGGGGCCACCGTGTCGCACTCGTGCACACATTTTATGTCGAGACGTGCTTTGCGTTTTGTGGTTGGTTGGTGGATTGAATGAGAAATTTCTTGTATCTGGGGGAGGCTAGGTCGGTCCGGTTGGTCTGTCCAACCACGTTGAATGGACTTCGAACGGCTTACCGTCTCGAAGTTTCCCGATCCTAAACGTTTTTGTTATGGTCGAATGATTTTGATTTTGACAAGAACCTAATTAGGACCTGTTTACTTTGATGTCATTTTCAATCTTACCAAATTTTGGTAAAGTTGTCAAAATTGTGGCTACATTTAGTTTGCTGTCAAATTTTGATAACTATATAAGAAATCCTGCCAATTACCAAAATTTTGACAACTATGCCAAAATTTTGGTAATGTTTTTTTCTTTTGCATTAAAGTGAACAGGCCCTTAATTGACCAATAATCTCTGAAATAGACTGATAAAATCGCATGATTTTTGTTTTAGTATTTTTTTTACTACTACTAGAATTCATGGTGGTTGATTTTTTTTTTCTCCGGTGTGATTGAATGGTGCAGCGGCGGAGGAAGTGGAGGAGGAAGAGGGCGGAGCAAGGGGTCTACGTGGAGCTGAGCGAGGCGATGGACTGCCTGAGCCACATCTGCACGGAGGGGTGCACGGAGGTCGGGCCGGTGGGGCGTGCGCCGGCGGCGGCGCCGTGCCCGGCGTACGCGACGGCGTGCCGGGGACTGCAGCTGCTGATCCGCCACTTCTCCCGGTGCCACCGCACCAGCTGCCCGCGCTGCCAGCGCATGTGGCAGCTGCTCCGCCTCCACGCCGCCCTCTGCGACCTCCCCGACGGCCACTGCAACACCCCTCTCTGCATGTGAGTGATCACAATGTCACACTCACACACCCATAAATGCGTCTTTTAAACATACGCTTGAAAAGATGAAAACTAGCGATATCATCTAATCTCACTAAAATATCGTTGAAAGTCTAAATGCGTATGCGTAATATTCAATTAGCTTACATTGATCTGGTTTTGACTTGGGAAAAAAAAATCTTTGCATTGTGTATTGCAGGCAGTTCAGGAGAAAGGAGGAGGAGAAGGCGGCAGCGAAGGCGAAGGCAAAGGCCGGCGATGATGACGATAAGTGGGGGCTTCTGGTGAAGAAGGTGAGGGTTGCCAGGGCCATGTCTTCTCTGGGCAAGAGGAGGCAGATGAGTTGCTCCCAGTGCTGAGCAAGTGCAATCACAGCATCAGCCTGAGACAGTCAAGAGAAGAGTATTGTAGTATAGAAGGGTACTACTATGTAGTTAGGCATAGTGCATGAGTGTATTGAAGTGAGCTATTTTTTGGTTTGTTCAAGATGGTTTGGTCTCTCAAGTTTGAGTTGCTTTACTGTCTTCAATTTGTAGAGTTCTTTTGTGAGGTGAGAGAAATGGGCTGAAATCTGTTGTAAAATTGCCTATATCGTAAATAAACTTTTAATAGTGAGGTATATGATCATTACAGTTTCATACCTGGATGATTACATTGATAGACTTTTTATGCCCTTCCCTTGGAAGCTCAACCTGAAAGCCTTCAACACAACATGTGGCTTTCTGAACACAATATGCAAGACATTAGTGCCTCAAACCGACATTACTTAGTGGCTCAAACCATAAACATGAAGGATCCAAGCTGGTTTTCAACAAACCTTGATAAACAAACATTAGATCAGGCCTCAATCGTTTGTCGTTTCTTTACTTCACTTTTGTAAGTTGGGTAACTCGAGTAACAGAAAGCACACAATTTATACATGATGCAGTGACGAAAGAAAGAAGACGAACTCAAAAGAAAACAGTTCAAAAAGGGGCACAGCGAGCTGAAAAAAAGACGATGCAAATATTTGGTTTTTAAGAAATACATATAGTTTGTTAGAACAATAATAATGCAGAAAGGCAACCAAAAGATGCGCATCTTGTTCTAAACATTAGACATTTGTTTCACCAAAAAGACTGACCAGCTGAAACATCTATGAAATCGATACTAAACATCACGCCAAACCATGGAAATGGAGCTGCATGTTTTGCTCTTTTGTATAATACAAACTGCAAATAACTCATCATGAGCTTAGCCGCTTGCATTTGACAAAAAGTTATAAGATCTCTTGTTTATTGGAGCTGTGGAGAATACATCAGCCAAGCATTATCACTTGGAAAGTACATTCCAAGGAAGAAATTTGACAAAGCAACTACTAAAACCATTGCCAAATGATAATCATGATTCACTCTCCTTTGCTTGGGCCATTAGCTCAGCTTGCATTCTCTTTATCTCCTGTTCCCTTTCCATCCTCTCTTTCTGCAAGAACAAAACCACTTTCAGCATATTCCAACAAACACAGTACATGCACAAAACACATCAATTTGCACACGGACTTCCAACTTTCAGTCGCTGTGGTTTCGGTGGTGGGTGTGTATATGGGTGGACAGGTAGAAACTTGTCTCAAGAGCACATAGGAGTACAGAACACCAAAACTTGTTCGCTTGTCTCAATCTAGCATTTAAAAAATTCTGACAGTAGTTAGGCACCTAATGTTCACTTGTCTCAAGAGCAATCTAGCAAACGAGGAGCCAAAAGAATGTGAACATGCATACAAAGTCGAATTCTACCTGTACAGAATTTCCTATTTCTAAGGAGTTTGGTAACAATCCTGACGCCCAAGACAATTTTGATAGACCGATGATCAATCGCAGCATCACAGTGCTGGTGGAGTACATAAAAAACAACTGATGTGCTATTTTTTGCAAATAGATAGCAAGTTGTTCATGAGCAATTACCCTTAATGTGAGACAAATGCAACAAATGAAGAAATCAACAAAACAGAATACTGATCCTAGACTTCGTACATAGGTTATAAGCCAACCTTGGGTGATTCAACCTTACTACCTTAGGAGGAGCCCAGCATAATTAAATGAATATAACCATATCTAATGTGTCAAACAGGTTACTAGTTGCCTTGGGCAATTTACGCTTAATATGAACCCCTCTGTAACCACAGGGTGTACAGCATTCGGCACTGAGTATTAACTTGCACAACAGTCAGGAGTTTGCAGGCTGCAGCAATTAATCCACACAACATAATCATATTGGGTTCACAGGCGTTTCTGCTACGCTGTGATTCCCTAGTGCATAAATTGATTTTCTTGTGTGCCTGGTGTGCCTTAAGATGCGAGATGCAACCATTGTTTCCTCGATTACCACAACTCTCCATGTTTCATTTCAGATGTATTCATTTTTTTTTAAAAAAAATGTAAGCCACGACAGTGCAGCACAGCCACCAACACTGCAGAAAGCCAAAGCATCAAATCTGAACCCTAAAACTAGAACAAACCAACTCCAAATAATCCGCGGTTCATCAGGTCAGGACGGATCCGGCAACCCCCAGCACAGCCTAACACCCACGCGGACCAATCACACACAGGCAACGCCTAGATCTAACATGCCAAACTGATGAATTTAGTGGGGAAAGATAGATTAGGGCAGGAGCTAGTGTTACCTTCTCGTCCTGGTGGAGGGCGATCCAGACGTGGACCCTGTCCATGGACTGCCAGAAGAGGAACGCGCCGAAGGTCATGGCGAAGTAGGTCGCCACCTTCACCATCTTCCTTCTTCTCCTCCGATCTCCCACCCTTTCGCTCCGCGGCGGATTTGGGATTTGGCAACGGCGGCGTCTTCGGGACAAGGGGAAGGGGGAGAAAGAGATACACACAGACTTCACCAATAGGAGACGGCCGTACAAACTCTCTTGGGCTGAGCGGGCCGAGAACAACTTCGCTAGATTTTTAAATGGGCCTCGTTAACTGGTGGGACCAACCGATCAAGCTAGTTCTGCGTGTGAGAGGAGAAGAAAATATCGAAAATATATGTAAACGATCGGTATATGATTAATTAAATATTAATTATTTTAAACTTGAAAAATATTTTAATATGATTTTTAGGATAATTTTTCATAAAACACACCGTTTAGCATTTTGGGAAAAATATGCATGAGAAACGAGGGATTTTTCTCTATGTCCCTCTCTCTCTCAAAATAATCTTATACTCTCTTCATCCCATAAAATAAACCTAAGACATGATGTTGTGAGTTTGTCCGAAGACCCGAAAACTGTGCCATTATCAAATCGAAATTTAAAAATAGAGAAGAAACACAAATCACACCTGTTAGCTTTTCCGTATTAAATGGATATTATCTTCGTCCAAAAAGACATCATTTATCTCTAACTTATGCACCTGTTGACGAGTACGTACTGTACTAAGCAACGATCAGAGTGCAAGCACAGAAGCACTAAGTCCCTGACCATAAGACATGTTTCATTCACAGTTCTTAGTATTTCCCTATGAATAACATGTTCATTTACAGCTCATACTAACCCTTCAGATAAGACATGCTCTTAGTACTTCCTTATGAATATGATGTAATAGTTCATTTACAGCTTCCAAGAAGCTTACAGATACATACGACAACAGCACAAACTATTAGTACGACGGCTTGCAGACAAGCAATCGTGCAACCATCCGAAATATCAAAAACCGAGTTACATTGTTATACATCTCTCAGTTACATCATGCATCGCCGCGCAGAGTTGCTAAAAAGATCGCTTCCTTTTCATCTCTGTTCCTTGCACATGCAAGCCATCAGAGCAACAGTTATATATGTTCAAGGAGGTATACAGTCGAGCCCTATGTTGTCTTCTTGTTTATAGAGCTTTGTCTGACCAGGCTAGCAATCGTCAACTTGTGTGATTCATCGTGGCACCCTCATTATTGCAGCAGTCCACTTCTCTTCCCCCAACCCATGGCTACTATGTACATAACCGTGCAGCCAGCAATGGTTCCCAAAGTGGTTTCCCAAAATTTCATGTTTGATGCTCGTTTCTCCTCCTCATTTGTAGGATCAGCATAAAGCGATATACCGATATTCATCCCAAAAAGACCAACAACGGCCACTCCAGCAGTAATGACAACAGTTGCAGTGGAGAGCATGACCCCCATCTGTAGAAGTTGATTTTGCTTGTCATCCAACATGATGTTGATATAATCTTCTGTATCATCAACATACTCTCTCAGCTGCAAGCATAGAGAAGAAACGTCAAATCTCAACTGCACATAAAACAACATGAATTTGGTTTATAAACCCTCAACTGCACAACTCCCTGGACCAGTTTCCCACAGTTGCATGCGATGCTCATATAGGAGAATCAAAATAAATCATTGTAAAGAACCTCCCATGAAATCAGGAAAAAAACAGAGCAAATGCCAATGGATCCATGAAACGCAACGCACAACCTTCCTAGCAGCCCAACATAACATGCATAAAACATTATAAAATTGTAGATTCGTTGGTAATATACTTGCTGACAACAAATAATAGGTTGTAAGAACACTTTGGAGCAATACAAGGAACAGGGAAAGGCAAAGTCATTACATGAGATAGCTTATTAAGTGTGCCATCAATTTGAACAAAGTAGGCCTCCAAAAGCATCTCCAGTTCTTCAATGTGTGGCTTATAGCCAATAAAGGTACCATTGCTTACATCTGCCTCACTTCTATAATCTTCATCCCTACACAGATATAAAATTATACATACACAGAGACAACAATGGCTGATTATGGGTGGAAGAGACACAAATACATCCTGTTTTATTCTTTCAAGGAAAATGTAGACATGTTGTGCTCTCATGACTTACCTATCCACCTCCAGTTGAGATGGGTCATCAACCTCAACTCTAGATGAAGTCTCACTTATTTCTTGTCGAGTAAGCTTTTCTGTCAAATACATTTCAGCCATGTCCATTTCATCATCCAACAAATGCTCAAGTTCATCCCTCACCTATAAGAAATAAATATTTTAACAAGGGTGGAATGCATTCAGAGAATGTTGAAGGAAATAATATTCAGAAGAAAGGCAAGCAAGCTTGAGAGGAAACTATGGAGGACAACAAAAGACCGATGCTTGTGTGTGCATGCACATGCATGCGATTGTTGTGGGCTGCGGTTGTTGTATTTAGCCTTTGGGTGTAAGTGGTGTGGGGGAAGTACTTCACACAACTATATGAAGGTTAAACAAGTAGTGTTGCAGCCAGCAGAAGGAAAAAAAAAAATCATGTTTAATAACACCTGACCAATTAGGAAGTTCACACATTTAGCAGTTGCACTTGATCAAAAAAATATGTTTGATGGCATAAACATCAGATACACACTCAGTGTTTATCTCCAAACCATGAGAGCAACATAAATAAGATTTAACATAGGTAAGAACGAAAGAACCTACAGGTAGGTGACATGAAGTGTGATTGAAAAGGTACAATTTCCTACCTTCTGCACACGACCAGAGATTGCAACCAGGCGGCTCTTAATTTGCCTAACTCGCTCAAGATTTAGTGTGCTTATCTTTGAAGTCAGCTCATCAAGTGCCGGATACGCCTCTTGCTCCAGAGTCGACGTCTGAAGGAGGAAAAAGGTCAGACACTATAAACATCAAGTAGGCTATGTTTTACAGGTTGTCTGGTTTCATAAGATGCATGAGTTTCTCCATAACTAAGGTTCAGAACACCTCTTTCACAGCGAATTTGAAGAACCATGCTTCATCAAATTTCTATATGTCTCTCCTAAGGGCTTGGCCTCAAGTTAATAACCACTTAACCAGCACATGTGAAGATAAATTATCTAATCTTCTATGTAAAAACAATGACCACTTAGTTACCAAACAACCGAAAAATGTATCAAAGCTTTTTATTAATTCAGTTCCATATATGCATTCTAAAACTTCACCAAACTTTACATACAGGTGATTGCATAAGGGAAAGCACTTACTTCCTCTTCTAGGCTTCTACAGGCTGACTCAAGGCACACTTCAAGTGCTCGGAATTCGAAGGGTAAAACTTTGGTATTTCCATCTTTTGCAGCAGTCAATGTGGGCATACTGTTGCTGTGAGTCATTCCGCCTACCACATTGGAATTCTTGTTAGTCATCTCCAATTCATTTGGTGTGGTTGAAGTCAGAGCAGGAAATGGTGAAGTAACTGCAGATGATTCGCCTTCCATATCAGTAAATTCTGCAGCCTGATAAAGAAGAAAAGACATTTAGTGATATAACCCCTAACACGGTCAGCACATAGAAGTAAACCATCATCTATTGTTCTGCCTATGCATTATCCTGGACCATTTCTCCATATCTATCTGCACCTGCTAATAAACTTTGTCTTGGTTACGATTACCTCACAATGGCTACTATCAGTGTTTGAGGAAGAGGGGGGGGGGGGGGGGGAGAGATAAACAATGGCTACTACGCAAAGTTCATTGAGGGAACACAACAGAAATTAACAAGCATCTACATGTGATCTCGCAAATGTACTCAAGAAGAGTCAAGATGAGTAGGGCCAGCCTGATTGCAATTCTGATAAACTACAATTAAAAAATATATAATTCCACAAGGTATGCTGCCGATATACAGTAATTCTTATCCACTCGAACCACTGCTACCATACCATACAACTCCTAAAACATACAGTCTATAGGCAAAACTGCAAAAGGGCAAAATGATTAGAACCCGTACAAGGCAGTTCAATCCACCATAATCTCGGACCTCATACCACGATTCTTCATATAAATTAGCAACAGGGAGGGAGGGAGGAGGAGATGTTGGACCTGGTCGGAGGACGAGGCGAGGACGCGGGCCTGCAGGTCGCAGACAAAGCTCGCGAAGGCGGGGTCCTTGGAGTTCGGGAGCAGCACCTCGGCGGCGGTGATCACGGCCTTGACGCGCTCCAGGTTGACGACGATGGCGCGCTCGCGACCCAGGATCGTGGAAGGGTACGACAGCAGCGGGTCCAGCACCCGCAGGTCGCGCGCCGGCAGCCCCGTCCGCGCCATCACCGCGTGCTTCCCGGCCTCCTCCACCCGCGCCTGCCCCGACGCCGGCACGACCAGCCACTCCCGGCTCGCCGCGGCCGCCGCCGCCGCCGCTTTCCGCCTCCCGCCGCCGCCGCCGCCGCCGCCCGCCGCCGCCGAGGGCCTCATCCTCTCTATACCCTAGGGTTAGGGTTTCGATCGACGGAAACCGTGGAAAGGGGGGATGAGTTCGCGGGAGCCGGATGTCGGGAGATGCGGCATTCGGCGGTGGTTGGCTCAGGAGAGACGGATTCGTGGGGAGTAATACGCGATTTAGACAAGGGTGTTTTTGGAAAATTACAGGATCGCTGGAAATTGTGGAGATCAGAGTAAGAGTAAGGGTGTTTTTGCAAAGTTTTTTTGACATGAGAGTTGAAAGCCATCATTAGCCGTTGGATTAATGCGGGCCAGCTGCATATGAGGCGGGAAGAGAAGTGACGCTACCATGGGGTTGGCATCGTCCTTCGGGGTGATACGGCAAACTTTGCATCTGCTTCATGTAGAGCATCCATACGTGACCAACCGCTGGATTCTTAGTTTAAGTCTGTAGAAATTAAAAGGAGAACATGGAGATAACAATAGCATGTTTGTTATTGGTGCTGATTTTCTGAATTCATTTGTTACCGAAATAGGTGCAGTACGATGTTAGTTACTTGTAAGATATGGGGGGGGATGGAATCTAGCTGTTGGTCACGTATGGATGCTCCAAATAAAGCAACGGCAAAGTTTGCCGTATCACCCTGAAGGCAGACGATGCCAACCCGCCACAATGCATCCCAAACAGCTAGGCCTTCACTTCAGCGACGTGGGCGAAAACCAATCGACGCACCGGGCCATCACGCTGGCAGGAATTTTTTTTTGCAAATGCGTAGAAGATTGCAAATTAATATTAATATATTAGATGATGCCCCACGCTTTGCTGCGGTATATATATCAGATAATGGAGAAATGATGAAATGATTTGGATTGAAATATTATAAAAATAATTTGAGAATAATGATTTAGCATGTGAATGTTTTGTTTTAGAATGAAATAAATTGTAGATATAATTAATATGTGCTTGCACGTTGAGTTTGTGTGCATAATGGGTTTATATGGCATGCTTGCATGTAGATTTTATAGGAGTGCTAATAAATACTATGTTTGCATATTGAGCTTTAGGTGTTTAGTGGACAATAACTTTATAGAAAGAAGATATTAGAAAGAGAGTTCAATTATACACCACAATCAACCATAGAGGGTCATTGTCCGGGAATAAGGATAAAGAAAAAAAAACTGAGTTAAAACTGGACGCTACTTCTATACAAGAGAGAGGGGAGGCGGAGCCCCACTGCACTCCCAACAAGTCCCCAAAAGACGCGGCGCCAGCAGCTGAGCATAGGTGTTTTTTTAGAATGGACTCGAGAACCACCGAAACTGGCGAGAGAGAGAGAGAGTAATCTAACATAGAGTTCCGATCCTTCTACAGCTACTAGGAGACGAGGAGGACTAAGGAATCAAAACCCTTGTGACAATACTCAGGCAAACAGACCATAGAGGTCGGCCTCCAGACCTGAAGAGAGGAGCCACAGGCCCTAAGGTCTTGTTTAAAGAGTTTAAGATTATAAAAAAGCTGATTAGTAGCTACGGAATCTGGTTCGTAGTTTATTTTAAATTTTTGTAACTACACTTTTTAAAATTTCGATAAAAGAATTTTGAGTGCTTGAGAGTGATTTTGATTTTGGGAGAAGCTGTAAATGACAGAAGCCCTTCACCTTTGAAAGCCTAAGAAATTTTCTGCTAAGTTGTTGGAGAAGGTATGCCAACTGTGTACGTGAAATAGAGTTCCCTTTGTTTTTTTTTAAAAAAAAGATAGTGTTCCTTCACCAGAAATATCACAAAATATATTAGAAGACTTCCAGGATTCAAGACATGTTTCTGTTTTCAGCTTGATAAAATAGCACGAGGTATTGATGACATGCTGGATGTATTGCATCCAAGTGCAGGTAGCATATGGGGCATTCGAATGAAATATATACTGATCTATGTTGGCCGTCAAGATTTTATTTACGTTATATATTTTTATAGCGTCCAAACCAATGAGTACAGTTAATTTCTAGCACACAGTGATGTTTTCAAGTGTGGTATTCCAGTTTGTTGAATTGTTGCATATTTGGAGATCTATGACCACTGATGAGAAGCTTGAACTCAGTGTCAGTGAGCGCTTCCGCAAGTTTCCAGATAAGGTTTTCGAACGCGTGGTGGAGATAATTGGGACAAGAAAACTAGCAAATGAGTGTTCAGCACAAGAAACCTTATGTGGCTTCATCAATCTTCAACTGTAAGAGGTGCTACTATTTGATAGAAGGTCAAGAATACATGAATCAGGTTCAACGCATCATTGGCTCATTGCATTGTTGAAATTTCACGAAACCGGCGATCATTGACGAACGTTTGTGTCAAATTGCATGCATCAATCAAATCGCCTCATCCATTCTGGCAGCTCAAAGGAAGCTTTAAAGTTATCGTCGTCCGTTCTTCTTGACTTTGCTTTTCCAAAAGGAAACATGATATGATTTGCACCAAGATAATGGATGGATTGGAATGAGAGGGTGAGATATCGGAAGATACGGTGTGGCTTTAAAGCATATTCTACTGCACAAACAGGGATCTTCCCCGGCTATGGTATCAATGTTTCGTTCATAAAAAAAAGTTATTATGTTATCGATTTTCCTTTGCCGTCCCTTGCGCATTAGGAAGATTTGACATGGATAACGAAATAGTTCCGTTGTGTTACAGGGATACAGCCAGAACATGCTATATTTGCCTATCTAACTCAATTTCCCTGCAAAATTTATCACAAAACCATATATTTAGTGCTAAATTGATCACAAAACCACACATTCAGTGCTAAATTTATCACAAAGATTTCGGAGCTTGAATTTCAGCGTATAAACCATTTTAAAACTTACATGCTGAGTTCATTTTTTTGTGGTGGTGGTAGGGTGGGGGGAGGGTTGGTTCATTGTACTTTAATTTTAGCAATTGTTTTTTTAACTGTATGTAATATAAATATAAAAGTTGTACATATAAATTATTATTTATTGCTTATATGGTGTTTTGCGGCTTATTTAGCTGTAAGCAAAACAATCAGGTTGATAGATTTTAGTTATAATATCACAAAATCACATATATACCATCAGTTTTATCATAAACCTACATATTTTAAATCTTAGATTTATTAAAAAAAATACAGATTTTAAGCCTCCATTAGAATAACAATGTTAGGATGGAGCAGTTATAATATGTAATTTTATGATAAAGGATATGCTGTATATGTAACTTTGTGATATTTATAGTAAATTTAACTATATATAGTTTTGTGATTTTTTTTTCAAAATATCTACAGCTACTTGAAATTTACTCTTTAAGGAAAATCTCTCTAATTGAAAAGCTAATCCCAAGACGCAACATGGTTGGGCCACGGAAGCAACACCAAGTATACCCGTCCGATTCAGAAAAGGACAAAATAGAGAGAGACGATCGTAGCCATTAGATGAGAGAAAAAAATCTGCATAAATTCTTCACGAGGCTTTGAGGCGAAACGGGCAAATGGCATGATCATGAACAGGAAGGAAAACAAAATGAGCGGCAAAGGAAAAAAAAATCCTCCATGGTCACTCTCAGAACCTGATCCAGGCGCTACTCTTCAAGAGCAAGATGACTTCAATGATAGGCCGGTGAAGTGCGGCGGAGGCGGCTTGATCTTCCTCATCATGCCACTGAGTCTGCCTCCACCACCTCCTCCACCATTGCATCCACTACGGTTCCCGCCTCCCGATAGCTAGATAGATAGGCGGAGCGTGAGAGATAGGCGGAAATGGAAGGAAAAGCAGAGGAAGAAGATCCTCACAGGCTTTGCTCTGCCTCACGCGGATATATCCTGATATCGATGCCAGCAAATCTCGAGCTACAGCCAATGTGCTTTTAGGAGAAAGAAAAAAAAAAGATACAACAATGAAAGAAAGAAAATCCAGAGAGAAAATGATGTGAACACACTCGCGAAGGGTGGCCCGATCTTCACGACAGTAGGTTGAAAACCAAGGATAACTTGTTGTAGAAACAGTGGGTAACTAGCTTTATAACTGCTAAGGTTGGATGCGACCAAGCGACGGGGAGAGAGACACCGAAACCGTGAGAACTTCGACTCGATCTCCGAACAACCGCAAAACCACAATTCGGAACTAATCCACACAATACGGTGCAGCCAAACTAGAAGCCGTGGTGCACGAACTAGGGGACCTCAGAGAGATCTTCCTCACAAGTCCAAAAAGAACTCGCAAGAACAAAGGGGTGTAAGACACTCAAGCAGCTTGGCTGAAAAAAACATTCAGGTTATCAAATCATCAAAAGTTGTTTCTGAAAGCACATAAGGAATATTTATACTAGGAACAACCCTCCTAGATAGGTATGAAAAGTCTTGAAAGAAGGACATAGACTAGCCCAAAGGCCTCAACAAGTGAATTTCCGAGAAGACTCGCGCGTCTGTTTGGCTTATGAGTAGCCTTCAGTAAAAAAAGGTCGTTACTCCTTATTGGAAAGTCCAAATGACATGGGGTCAGTTGCGTTGGAAAGCTAACTTAATAAGCTTTCACACCATGTGCATAATGCACTACGAAATATTATAGATTGATACAGTTTTGCATGGAAAGTTAAATGTCATGGCAGACTATTGGCCTTCGGAGCAGTGTCCACTAATCTGGCCATAACTCTTTAGTGGGAAATCCAATGGACGAGCGGTTTGTTGGGTGTGAAACTAGACTCAATAAGCTTTCCAAAAAAAAATGCTCATTCACCTTCATAGCTTTTGAGAATCAAAAGTTATGACGATTTCTTAAACTGGTCTGTTTTGAAGTTGAACTGGTCCGTTTTTCACTGTAGCGGTTTGATCTTCATGGTCCGATTCAGCTTCCTCTTGTTGCATAATCCTAAGCGCAACCAAAGTAGAACATTTAGGTAGTATAACATTCTCATCTATAGATGCATCAAATGTAGCAAGGAGTGAGTTCACCTGTTGTTGTAGTTTCTGCGCACGACTTTGCGTAATCAGTCCTTCCATTACTTGATCATGTGTAGCAGTAGTTGAACTTGGTATAGTCATGATTGGGATGTCCTCATCAGAAAACTGGCGACTAGCAAGAGACAGCGACGCAGGTGCCGCCGGAGTCAGATGATGCACCTAGCTAGCTAGCTGCTGCTGGAGAATGGAGATGATCGAAGGAAATGAATTGAGAGGATGAATAAAAGAGAGGATGAGAGATGGAACAGCTCACCGCTCTAGCTAGCTGCGCCTGCGACCGCCTCGTGGCTTCTTACTCATGCCTCTTTCTCAATATCACGCCTATAAAATAAAATTATTTATGAAAGCACCCCTAGGTAAGTATTCATAATTTTTGTTCCAAAAAACCTTGACATTTTGAAATTTCAAGACATCATATTCATAGCTCAACTGACAGTATGCATAACATGCGGAAGGACACACCTCCTCTACAGTACTTCCAATGTAATAGCAGTGGCTGATACGGGAGTCTGATTCCATATATTAGTGTCTGCGGACAATCTCATTGATACAGTAGGAGTATACAGCTATATACAGGTTTTAGTTCTATTCATTTCATATAATTATGAGCTAAATATACGTGCTTTACTGAACATAGAATAAAATTTACTATAATATTACATAAAATTCAAATTCATCTTAATTTAATTTTATATGTCACTGTTTTATTTGGATTTGATTGAATTTTAATATTTAAAATGGGTAATTTATAAATTTTACTATGAGAGTAAGTGGAGTAAGTGGAATTTTACTATAAAAATGGGTAACGAGCGTCACTATTTTCTCTAAAGAACATATTCACCACTCCTAACAGGATAGTTAAAATCACCTAAAATGAAATGATGATAATCCACATAACCTAAAAAATTCTAGCGATTGGATCAACATAAAGAAAAAAAAAGGCATGAAAAAGCATGCTCACGTGTGTAGCAAATGCGTGAAAATTATTTCTATATATATTTTATATTTTTTTACATGTTCTCAAATAATATAATATTATTAATAGATTTTCTTACACTATTTATAGTAGGATGGCCATAGTCGCGTGAATGCGCGAGTACAAAGACTAGTATATTGTGAACTACTTCAGGTCTACCTTGTTTGGTTTGAAGCAATCAGCGACTCAACCAAATCTTTATAATTTTAATGAAATTTGATTATTAATATAAACACTATTAATATTGAGTAGTAAAGACTATGATGCTTCCTCATTAAATGAGAGATTGTTAGGAGTGCATAGATGATTTAAGATCAATAGTAAAAAGATAAATAAAGATGGTTGATGGGATAGACAAAACTCTAGGAATACTTACATTTCGATACAAATTTTAAAGACTATGATGCTACTAAAAGAATCCACAATGTGTGTTTTGTAGGTACTAATTAAGAAAATCTTTTTCCTACCAGCCGGCCGTATATATTGGGCGGCATGGGTTATACGAAAAAGCTAAAATAATCGTTCTTCTCTTGTGATCCAATGCTTTAAATTAGTAATAATATTATTTTTAATTGTTTACAACTGAAGAGGAAAAACGAGAGATCGTAAGAGGCCTGAGTTCAATTTTTTGTTTAGTACAACTGAAGAGAGAAAAAACCGTTTACTTTTTTCACATTGTACGACTTTTTAAAATTATATATTATCAATCATGGACCACATAGTGCCACGAGAAAATAACTATACATTGCACGAATCTTGCTTTGCTAACCCGCTTTTCTTTGATGCGTGTTGCTATTACCTCGCGGTGAAACTATACAGTACGTTTTTTCTCCTATCTAATACTCCAACGGGTTTCAAAAAAGAAACTATATACGGACGCCCTTAATAATGGCAAAGTTGACACACTGTTGCGACAGCAAACCTACTTGCCTGCTACTACCCTGCTACTACGTATACTGTACTGTATACGTATATCACCAGACTGTAGTCTGTTTATTAATCCGCACAAAAGGAAAAGGAAAACTCAGTCGGCCACACACCACGTAGCGTCACATCATCCTCATGTAACAGCCTAGCTACCTCACACGACAGTATTGGTTTTCCGGCCGTTTTCGATCGCCTGACGCCCAGGAAAAAGCCGCTATTCCTGTGAGGCCCTGACGCCGACCGAAACTCCGGTACAGCATATGAGAACAACCACCTAACCACCCTTCATCCATCCGGTTAAGGCAATCATGCAAGAAGCAAACAAAAAATCCGTTTATGCCTCTGTTTAAATTGGTGAATGTACTGTGATAGCCAGCTATTAAACTAACTCATGCCGTAATTAATATGGGACAAATTAAGTATTTCATAGAAATTCTTATATATTTTAGTTTGGAATAAATTTAAGTGATAGAAGTCCTTATATTTGTTCACAACAGCAGACGACGTCACAACGGCAGCTAATGCTTCTTTCTTTTAGAGAGAGAGAGCGGCACAGCGGCTACAGCTAGTGCGAGCCACGGGTGCATATGCGACCGAGCTACAATGCCGTCGAATTCAGCTCATGTTTCCTTCCACCTTTTTAATTTCTTTAATTTGCATGTCTCTCCATCACTACCAAATTCGGCTGATCATTCATGCTTTCCATTGATCCCCTTCTATATATATATGTATGAAGTGTGCGTGTGTGAGAGAGTGTGTATGTATCAGTTTGATTGCATATGAAATGGCTGCTTCATCGCTCGACGCCGAGGCAGCAGCTGCAGGCCAACAAGACAAGGCCGGCAGCGGCAGCTACACCACTGCAGCCACTGCTCATCAAATAGACACAGGTGCAAGCATATCCATGGTGATCGATGAACAAACCAGCAATTCTTGATCTTATCCGTTCGATTTATAGCAACAAGAAGCATCAGGATCCACGCATTCTTGACACATATATTGAATTGTTAATTATTGATCGGTTTTAGTTTAATCGTTGGACATGTACACATGTGCATGCAGATTCATGGCAGCAGGTAGGGGTGCTGCTGGTGGTGGGGTTCAACTGCGCCTACGTGCTGAGCTTCTCCAACCTGATGATGGCGCCGCTGGGTTGGGGGTGGGGCATCGCCTGCCTGCTGTTCATCGGCGCCGCCTCCTGGTACGCCAATTGGCTCCTCGCCGGCCTCCATGTCATCGACGGCCAGAGGTTCATCCGCTACAGGGACCTCATGGGCTTCGTCTTCGGTGCGTTTCATGTCAGAGAAATTGGGTTGATTAATTAGTGAGATGAATAGATGATTAAGTTAGCTGGAGGCTGAAAATGCAGCTGACGAACCTTGTTAATTTACACGGTTTTGTTTGTTTTGTGAAGGGAGGAAAATGTACTACATCACTTGGTTCCTGCAGTTCATCACCCTGATACTCGGAAACATGGGCTTCATTCTGCTAGGCGGAAGAGCACTCAAGGTACAAAATTTGCTGTTAATTGTATCGAATATCCGATTAGCTGTCTATCTATGACCAATTGTAAGCTCGCAGTTTAGTTAGCCGATTTAGTTATTCATTTTTTTTTCACTGCAACCTGCAGGCGATACATGCGGAGTTCAGCAGCAGCCACTCACCGGCGAGGCTCCAGTGGTTCATCGCTGCAACCGGATTCGTCTACTTCGCCTTCGCCTACTTCGTGCCGACCATTTCCGCCATGAGGAACTGGCTGGCCACGTCCGCCGCACTGACCGTCGCCTACGACGTCGCCCTCATTGTCATCCTAATCAAAGACGGTAATCACTAATCACTACAGTATAGTACTACATGTCTCAAGTATTCTCTGTTGCGGTGCTCTATAATAGTAGAAAACAATCTAAACAGTTAATCTTATTTGATCAAATGGTTCATATTTACATTATCACCTTATTAGTTAGTAATAGAAACATGAAGAGATATTATTATCTAAGAAAAATATGTGCGGAGAGATATAATTGTCATTAGCAGTGACTAAACTACAGTAACATAAATTAATTATAGTTATTACTATTATTAATCATGGTATTAGTAAATTACTAATTTACCCCTAATAATACTCTCAGCAGAGAACATCGGAGTATTAATCTTTGATTTGATCATACATGTTCATGCAGCATCTGATCGATCGAACAGGATTTATATGTTTTTTTTGGTTTCGCATTTAGGGAAATCGAACAAGCAGAAGGACTACAATGTCCACGGGACGCAGGCAGAGAAGGTGTTCGGCGCGTTCGGCGCCATCGCGGCCATCCTCGTGTGCAACACCTCCGGGCTGCTGCCGGAGATACAGTCGACGCTGCGGAAGCCGGTGGTGTCCAACATGCGGCGGGCGCTGCTGCTGCAGTACACGGCCGGGGCGGCGGTGTACTACGGGATCAGCGTGGCCGGCTACTGGGCGTACGGCGCCGCCGTGTCGGAGTACCTCCCCGACCAGCTCAGCGGGCCCAGCTGGGCCACCGTCCTCATCAACGCCACCGCCTTCCTCCAGAGCATCGTCTCGCAGCACGTACATATATCATATACCACATTCTTCTCCTCCTCCCCGTTGATGGCGTGAGAGCTCAGCCTAGAACAAATTAATTAAGCTTTAAGCGGATTGATACATTTTAGAAACGTGGAGCAAATAATCCATATTAACAATTCGACAAATAATATGAAAAGAAGCCATAATGATGTAGAACGAAAAAGGTGTAAGATTGGTTGAGTATTATTCACTAAAAAAATTTAAAAAATATTTATTTAATTTTTAAAGCATTTTTTAAAAAAATATTTTCACAAAAAATATTGTTTAACGGTTTGAAAAATATGCTAATAACAAAATTGTAGAGTAACTAAGTTGAATTTTAGCTCTTTAGGGTAGGGCGTTTAATTTGCCGTGGATTAATGCGTGCGTGCGTGCGGGTGGCGCAGCTGTTCACGGTGCCGATACACGAGGCGCTGGACACGCAGATGCAGAGGCTGGACGAAGGGATGTTCTCGCGGTACAACCTCGGGAGGCGGCTGCTGGCGAGGGGGCTCGTGTTCGGAGCCAACGCCTTCGTCACCGCGCTCTTCCCCTTCATGGGCGACTTCGTCAACCTCTTCGGCTCCTTCGTCCTCTTCCCTCTCACCTTCATGTTCCCCAGCATGGTCGTCCTCAAGGTATGACGACACATTTCTGTTGAGAAATTGATAGCACTATAATTCTATCAAGATCATGATGGATGGATGGATGGATGGAATGGTGATGTGCAGATCAAAGGGAAGGATGAAGCAGGGAGATGGAACAGGATTTGGCACTGGGGCATCATCGTCGCCTCCTCCGTCCTCAGCGTCGTCACCACCGCCGCCGCCGTCCGTCTCATCGTCCACAACGCCAGCGTCTACCATTTCTTCGCGGACATGTAATCAATCGACGCCGGAGATTACCATTTGCACCGTCGATTACCATTTGCAAGTGCAGTGTGCTGTGATCAGCCGGGTTTAGAGCTTTGCATTCTTCCATTAAGGATGAGATTGCAAGCGCAGCGCTGTGATTAGCGGGTTTACAGCTTTGCATTCTTCCGTAAGGATTATATCATCTTTGACGAACACATTGGACCTAACCAATGTTAAGCTATGCCAACCTATTACACTTGACGCCGAACACGATATTATTTTTACCGAGGACGGCATGATACCAGTGTAACATAGTTGAGGCAATTTGCAGGTATGCCGGCATCAGAACAAAAGCAGGGGACAAATTCACTAGAAAAAATGGCACCAAAAAAAGTCACTTTCAATCATATACGAAAACTGCAAATCTTTACAAAAACGCATGAATAAACAAACAAATCTTGCATGAAGACGGCACTGGAAAACGAATCCTCTAAAACTTATGTCGGCCACGGTGACGAAACCAACATCGCGATATGTACAAATGTTCGACTAATCAGACAGACTCCTGTTCGATCCATCAGGATTTCTCCTTTTCTTTCTTTTCTTCAATTCGTTAGAATATTTTATCAACCCACTTCTTGCACTGGAGTTCGGATCATTCCTAGTGGGTTTCAATACTTGAGACATCCCCTGCTCCACAATCTTGGAGCAGTGGATTGCTGGCCTTGCGATCCTTGTCGATGCAAACCCAGTACTTAACGGGCTTGTCTGCAAGCCGTTCAAAGGCTTTGCATGGATTGCACTTGAAGCATCCAATACAATCCATCGCCCAATGTGACACAAGGTGGTCTCCAGTATGCCACCCATTCGCAAATGATCCAAACTGCCATTGCTAGTATAGCTTTATTCTTGTGGAGATTGGACTGCGACATATTGGGCACGATTCGAGGCTCTGCCCACAATCACAGCAGGTCTGCAAAATTATATACTTTGTTAGAAAAGGATGCTGACGCTGACGTTTCAACAAGCCCACAAAAGCAGAAAATGACACCCCCAAGAAGCAAGAAAACACTGAATCTAGCAAGAGGGTGAATGTCTCACCTGGTGTCCGCAGCCAAACGCCATGTCTTTGGGGTTCACAAGGCAGATTGGGCAAACCTACAGGAGAAAAAGAATTATTTAAGACACAAAATTATGCAAATGCCTGCCTTAAGAAACAAGCAACAGATAGCATGTTGTCACCGCACGCGAAGGTATACCTGATTGTCATAAGTAGAAGAAGGTACAGCAGGGCTCGAACTCTGTGCAGTTTCATAGTGAGGATATGACGATGATGATGTACTACTCTGTGGGTAGGTACTTGGTTTACTAAAGCTTTTTGATCCATACGAGTAAGCATCATGGCTTCCACCAGGGGGAGGGAGAGGAACCCTTTCAGGCGACTTGAAAGAGCGACGACTGATGCCACATCAATATTAATTTTAGTCAGAATACTACAGAATGAATCAATAATTCAACAGATCAAAGCATTAGAGTAATAACGTGTTAGGGGCGTACCCTAAAATTCCTAATTCAACAGTTGCTTTGTATTGCTGAGGTATCTCCATCAAGGCTGAAAGTGCAAATGCTGCCTCTTTCCTTGATTGGGGCATGTTTTTGTTCATGATCTCCGAAAAATTCACAAACTACACAGATAATAGATCCTCAGTAAGGAGTAACAAAAATTTCATCTACCATATACAAACATGCCTACATGGGTTCATTAGGGTTCTCAGTGACTTACTTGAAAATTGTCAAAAGCACGAGAAGGAATGTTGTCGTCAAACTCTTTCATCATGTCCCAAGGGCCATCACCAACTCCTACTAGCACAATAGACAACGGCAATTCACTGCAGACGAAAACCAGAAAGCAAAACATCAGCAACATCCATGACAGAGGCAACGCAAACTATGTGAACATATAAAGTAATCGCCACAAAAACAGGAGTCAAAATGCATGGGAGTTACAGGCGGTATGAGCATATCAAAACAATGTAAAAAAGGAACTTATGAAGTACGAACCTAGCTCTCACAATAGCATCAACAGTCTTTTGCTCTTGTGAACTCAGCTGCCCAGATGCAGTGTCTACACTCCTTGTAACCTGTGATAATATGACAGCTAATAAGGTATAAAGAAAATGAATGTCTAGTCGTTAGGTTGGTCCAACATGTAGAACAAGCTTCAAACTAAGAATAACCTCAAATAAAAAATTGCTCGACTAAGGATCATGTAGGACAGAGTATCAAATGACATTACAACATGCTTCAGATGGAACACAAGTGGACATAGAACATGCCATTTCTAATCCTCAAATTCAACAGTCCACCGATCCCAGCACGTGAAACTCCATATATGAAAAACATGTTTTGTCATTCAAAGCTTTAAAATAGTGAACTGAAAACAACGATTCATATGGGGAAAACAAAATTTCAGCATGAATGTTTTATTTAACAAAAAAAATATTTCCCTTTGTGTGTTTTACACAGTACCTGCCCATCAGCAATTATCAACAGAACATGGTACTGCCCGCCACTTTGTTCCACGATGGTCATTGCCATCTCAATGATTGGTGCAAAGGATGTTGGTCCTGTTCAAAAAACAACATTCCAAGTATGAATTAACAGTATAGAACCAGCATAAGAGGCATCACTGGGCAACATCAGCTTACCAGCTAAGCGCAAGTGTGGAACAAGTTCCCTGTACCGGCTTAGAGCTTCTGAGAATCCATTGCAAGGTCTCAAATCAGGATAAAAACAGAAGACGTCTTGGTCATGTGTTGTTGCTGAAAAAACACACCCAGTTGAATTATGATTGGACAAATTATAATATAGTGCGAGAAATGGTCAGCTAATGAATAGAATCGCTACCATCTCCAAATCCAAAACAGGGAATCAAGTTATCTTCATCAAATTTCGACAGTGTCTGTCCAATGATCGAGATTGCTTGTTCATACGGATTAGGTGCATTGCTAATGTGATGTAAACTGCGTCCATGGAAGGAAAATTTTCCTGTAAATGAAAACAAACCATAAGCATCAAGGGGCAATGCAACACAAAAGACTGATAAGAAAATAAACCAAACAACGATTTGTTAGTACTAACCTAACCATTCATTGCTCTTTGTGAAATCAATGCCAACAATAAGATTCGAAGACTCAAGTCCTGCTTGAGCTAGTGCATCAGTAACCTGCAATTAATATTAATCCTGAGCAAACCAATTCATGGGAATAATAGCAACACAATAGAAACTGGATTGTTTGCTTATGTGCCTGATTCTTATACTAATGGTTATGAGGCCAGAATACAGAAATGTTAGAAAAGTTTAAATACAACATATGAAACAACTTTTACCGATAAACAACTAATTGTGAACAATAGCGTAATGTGCTACGCAAAAAATAAAAAAAAAACATTCAGAAAACTTAGACATGGAGTTAGTAATGTAAGCAGAAAATTGGAAGTGTGAAACATTAAACTGGTGGACCAGTTTATCCCACCAATAAAAATAAACATCCTCCAATTGCCGCATTTTGGACATTGAGGCAAGGAGCATTCAGGAAGTACAGAGGCCAGACTCAATTGATTAATGCTAATTTGCGTACTCATAAGATCTTTGAGAATTGAGAAGACCAAGCAAAAGAGACCAACTACAACCAATAATGATGGTTGGCCGAAAGCTGGAGCCGCCAATAATGCCCAACCTCACAACAAACATTTTTTTTTAATTCTTCATCAACAGTGATTGGCAGTTGACCAGCAGGCTTAACGAGTCGTCTCCTTCTGATTTTTGCACAAACATCAATTCGATCCACCACTACAGATCATCCTAATCTGAAGTTTCAAGTGGCTACAGCTACAGATTGACCAACTATGAAGTGCAAATCGGTAACGAGCGATTCGCTAACAATCCTAAGATGGAAAAACAAAAAACCGCGATTAAGGGAGAAAGGCCTACACGAGCGGGTTCGAATCAACCAAATCCGATGCTCCGAAAAGCAGGATCGAATATCCAAATTCCACACGAATCTACAGAACCGCAGGATATGATGCTCGGGCAGATACCTGATCCACGGAGTGGTAGTCGTCGGCGATCCGCGAGTAGCGGCGGTCGAGGCGCGGCTTGGACGCGCCCCCCGCCCGGGCCGGCGGCTGCGTCGCCGCTGGGGACGGCATCGGCGGCGGCGGCTGCTGATAAGCCGGGTACGGCGCCGCGTATCCCCCTTGCGGCGCCGGCGCGCCGTAGTAGCCTCCTCCATGCGCATCCTGCCCATAGGGATACCCACCGCCGCCGCCGCCGCCGCCGCCACCGCCACCGCCCCACTGCTGCTGGAACGACGGCGAGTGGCCGTACCTCCCGTGGCCGCTCCCGTCCCGCGGGCTCCTCGACTGGCCCCCTCCCATCTCAACTAGATCGACCAAGGAAAAAAATCCAACAAAACCAACCAACCAACCGATCGATCGATCAACCAAGCCCGCGACGCGGGGGGCGTATATCTCCTCGTGCGCGACGCGGAGGCGGCGGGGGAACGACGACGACGACCAAGGTGAGTACGCAACGCAACCGCTCGCGGCGCCGCCTTTGCGGTTTATTTTTCGGGAGAGGCGCGGCGAGGCTTCGGGGCTCCTTCCTTCGCGTTGCGTCGCCGCTTGGGACTTGGGAGGCGTGAGCTGGTGGTGGTTTGGCTGCTTCTGCAGTGCCACGGCCTCACGGGTGCAACTGTGCAAGGAAGGAAAGACAGTAGTTTGGATTTACTCCGGTATATATACAACGCGTGTTCGATCCAATCACCACACGGTCCACACCGCATTTGGATTGGAGTTGGAGTTTTTCCTCGTCAAACTCCTCACGTGCGGGAAAACTTCACCCAGGTTTAACTTCACCGCGTTTAACGTACAATAGCATTGGGAATCTGTTTCAGGGCCTGTTTGAAATTTTTTGAGTGGATTGCTAGAACATATTATTTATATTTTATTAACATGGTAAATTAGTATTTTATAAAAAATAAAATTCACAAACAACTTATAAAAAGTGGCCTATACATTGCCGCGAAGAAATTTTATGAAGAAATTTTTTTAAAAAACCGTAAAGCAAATAATCTAGGACAAAAATCAAGAAAAAATTGAAAAGAACAGGGGGGCATGTTAGGAATTTTTTTTGGTGGCAGTTGAAAACTTGAAGTGTTGGATTTATTGGACTGGGAATCCAATGATGGGGAATTGGACATACCATGGGCACTCATTAAAAGGCAAATGACTTTTGTGGGAGCCATGTGATGCTGACATTGTACACATTTTATCACCAGGTGGGCGGGCCGCAGAGGTAACCGTGATCTTAATAGATTAGCTAGGAAAAGTGTTAATAGAGGTTGCTCGGGCTTGAATGGAATGTTTGTAGTCTTCTAATCACTACTACGCGTAAAAAACCGTAAAATTCATACTCCCTCCATCCTAAAATATAATGATTTTTATGTAGTGTTTAGTCAACCATTTTTAACTTTAACTATTAATAAAAAAAATATTACTAGATTTATTATTAAAAAAACTATCATAATATGCAACTCTTTTTATTTTTTTAAAAAAAATCTTATTTTTACAGATATTGTTGGTCAAAGTAGCATATCGAAGACTATACCGAAGTCCAAAAATACTTATATTTTAGAACGGAGTGAGTAACGTTTTACTACAATTGTTTTGGCTAAACTATTAGAATATGTTGTGACTCTAGATATAGTATTTTAGATTAGATAAATTTTGCTATGGTGCATTTAAAATCTGTATATTTTACTGGTATACATCATAAAAACGTGTCAATATTGAAAGACACCTTAAAAAAATAATAATTTGTTGGACACACTTTCGGTATAATTAAAGAGAGAAAATCTTTGAATAGATCATAATACCTCTAGTGCCACAAACTTTCTAACACAGTGTTGAAGTGAAAATTTGCTTTCAGATTATTGCAATGTAGCACATGGTTTTATTGGAAAACTGTAACTTCCCTCATAGTCTATTAAAAATATTAATGGATGTTGGATGAAACTGAGTTTATGACTATTATTCAAGGGTACAAATAATCAAATACAAATATTAGAAAGTTAATAAAATGATTCTAAAAGGTTTTCTAAGAAATAATGATGAAGTTTTTTAATAAAAAAATCACATCATTTAAGATGTTTTAGAAAGTGTGGTCGTGGTAATTCAGTGGATGTAATCGAAAAAGAATGACTTCATATAAATATATGTCATATTGTTTGTGGGATCGCGGTTATTGATAAAGTTGTCAACTTTGTTACGTTTTCCTCAAATATCTCAATAAAAAGTAGTGAGCAATAATTTATTCAGAAACAATTGCAGTCTTGTTATATTTTAGATAGACTCCGTATGTAGGCTTTTTATGGTTATAATTAGTCAATGTCATGGTTTGTACAAATTCCTCATCCGCCATTTTTTTTTATATTTAAGATGTTCTTGGCATGATGTTATAATATATTTGATTTGGCATCATTTCTTTAGAACCCCAAGACATGGTCTGTAAATTTACCTTATGATGTTATGTATTTGATACACATGAGGTACCTTGTTGAAGCCTTGGGGAGATAATTCATTCAAAACCCCGCACAAAAAAGCTAAATCTATCACTCAATTTTGTGCATATACCACTTCACAACCTAATTGATAGTTATAGAAGTTTTTTTAATAAAAATTCCGTGCCAATACCACTTCACAACCTAATTGATAGATGTAGCATTTTTTTAAATAATGAAATGAATATTTCAGTTGTTGTAACCGTCCATCCTATAGAACCGTGTAGCTCAAACCATCCGATAGACGGACCCACTTATACATAGTACCCTGCTTACACTTTCGTTCTCTGTGTATAAGAATTAACCCATAAGTGGTATGGTTGGAGCGACTCGTTGGTTCCACTTTTTCTCAACTAGCAAGCAATGTAGTACTAATCAAGTGCACATGTCACTCATGTGCTACATAGGCCGCATCCTAATTGAATTAGAATGTCACAACTGCACTAGGATATGCACAAAGATATTCTTAGCTAATATGTCATTTAAGATTTATAAATATATACACACATGTAATATGTGTATGTAGTGAATTGCTTAGATTGCCTTGCTGACGAGCCAATACAATTGGATCACATTACACATCAATTGTAATACACGTTTCAGTAAGTGTCAATAAACGCATTTGAGTGGTCATATATGTTGAGGAATTACATATTTAAGAACCTGTCCATTATTATAAAAAAACATATTTAAGAACCTAATCTCAAGAACTTCTTCAAGTTATTGCAAATGGCCACATGCTACCACTAACTATTGGTCCAAGCAAATAATTAACCGCCTAATATAATGATTACTTCAACGTTCCATGGCAAGTTGGCCGATTGTACTAAATTAAAATATGTACCAAGTGCAGTGGACTAAATTACGATAGATAAGGTATGCTTAAATGTTTAGTTTGATGTCATTTGAATCGTTGAATGGGCCTTAAATAAAGAGTTTCTTAAGGCTACGATACACTAACTTAGTTTTATTTTTACAGGTGCATCGGCTATATATGCATGTTATCCAAAAAATTCTCCAGCCATTATATCACACTTAAGGCCTTTTCTTTTTACCTTATTCAATCACCGGATACTCGTTCCGTGCTTTAAAAAAATTTTCTTCTACTGCATTACTTAAACCACTTATTTTAAAAAGTTATGTATTATGTTTATGTTTTAAAAATATAGTTTATCCGTATAATAAAGTCGATAGCCAGCACTGTACGTAATAATTTGCTCAATACTCTAAATTAAACAAAAACTACTTGAGATTAACCATCCATTGGGCTACATCCCATTTGATACTTTGCAAGTGAAGAATATATAATTGACTTTACCTACAACACACTAGTCCACTCTAAAGGAAAATAAATAAGTAGATTCGCGGGACTGCCCGCTTGCACCACCTCCACCACCACCGGCCAGATTTCGTTGAAGACTATATGTGTTATGCAGTCTTCAACGACAACGGATTTATCAAGTCGTGTTAGTAATAAACCGGTAAAGTGGTTGGCATTTTCCTTGATATACACCTCATTAATTATAAAACACAAAGTGGTAGTTCTACAATAATGAATGATATCGACAAGCTATCCACTGGCTATATATATCAATATATGTGAATTCGCAATGTATTTGTACGCTAGCTAGTGGCGATATGATATATATTAACATGATGATATATACTTAACTCAGAAGAAACCAAAAGGGTTTGCCTGCTAATCAAGGTTAGCAGCCAGCTGGGAAACCAATCGGTCATTTCGAACGAAATTGATCATCATATATTCATATATATACTGATCGATATACACCTGAATCGTCATCTTCACCGGGTTGGCGCAGCCGGAAGTATTTTATTGCTGCTTTTTTGGTGTTGACGTTAATTGGATTTGAACCCCAGGATTACGTGCTGGACCGGATTAAGTAACACCAAACACATCTCGTCAGTCCTTAATTTATACGGCCCATTTTGCTAATCACATTAGCTGCCTTGCTCTATCGGTTAATTAATGCTGACTAATTGCCAGGTTGCAGGACTAGGGGTCAAATGGTTAGTAGGAGAAGGAAGCGCGGGGTGAAGACGAAGACGAGGAAGAAATTAGGCCGAACCATCCTAATTTGCAAATTGTCCACTATGGTAATTATTTTGTTGGAGTACTAAAAGTTCGGCAAACGGCAATACTAGGGTTGTGTTTAGATCCAAAGTTTGGATCCAAACTTCAGTCCTTTCCATCACATCAACTTGTCATACACACACAACTTTTCAGTCACATCATCTCTAATTTCAACCAAAATTCAAACTTTGCACTGATCTAAACACAGCCTAGCTTACGAGTTGCAAAACGCGAAACCCATTCCACAAAGGAAAATGGGTACGTAAAAGCGCCATCCTTTTCTCGATGGCTTAGCTACCAGAAATACAGTTTCTAGATTGGCTGATTTGCCTAGTACTCGTCTCAAGGCTTTAACAAAAATAGCATTTGAACAAAGATGGACGAAACGTACGTGTCAATATGTCATACGGAGTGATGGCATACTTCCTCCGGTTTTATTTTAATTAACGCTTTAGACAATGACACGCTTTACAAGATATACCTTTAACCTTATTTTTTTATTATAATATATACAATAAATAAATGCATGTATATTTTTATTATAGTGTTTTAAAAGACAAATTTATAGTTTTTTAAACTAAATATTTTTAAAGTTATTGATAATTAAAGTTATAAAAGTTTAACCTTAACATTGTCCAAAATATTAATTAATATAGAAACCGAGGGAGTATATACGTATATATATCGAGAAAAAGACCTTTTCAAACTTGCCAGGGACGACGCGCCGTCTACTACTCTACCACTCGTGTCTCTCGGGTTTGGATTAGTTTGCTGTGTTTGCGTGCGTGCGTGCGACGCGCGAGGCCAAGACCGCCAAACAGGAAGCCAACTTCCCCGCGAAGCGACGCGTGCGTGGCTGGCTGCCGCCTGGTGCTTTCAACTCCCTCCGTAAAAAAAAAAAAATAAACCGTAGGTTTTCGTACCAATGTTTGACTGTCCATCTTATATGAAATTTTTTAATAATTAGTATTTTTATTGTTGTTAGATGATAAAATATGATTAATACTTTATGCGTAACTTATCTTTTTAATTTTTTTCATAATTTTTTTAAATAAGACGGACGGTCAAACGTTGGATATGGAAACCAAGGTTTGTCTTTTTTTTTTTTACGGAGTGAGTAGCCATCTAGGCGGAGTATATGACTCTATGACCAGCAACCAGACGTCCAGATGTGTTCGCGTAGCAAAGGTCAGATTTCGGTTGGTTGTATGTACTTGTATGACGACCCTGTCCTGATATTGATGGCGAAGTGAATTGCCGTGAAGCCTCTCAAATGAGGAGGAGAGTTTACCTAGTCGGCTGGTCCATGTATAAACTGTATGCATATATGTCACTATCATTAGAATGTTCTGAGTCTGTGTCTACGTTAAACTTATGACTTATCACAATCGACAGGCGTAGCTGTCAAATTTCCAATTTTCTTTTCCGGTGAGGAACTGAGGATTATACGAGGTCATGACTCATGAGTTTTTTTTTTCACATTTTATCGGAATGACACTAACATTACAGGCACTAATGTATAGGGCAATAGTAGGTTGGAACTCGCATACCAGTAACTATAATAGTAATGACATTATGGTAGACGATCCTCACCCGGATTTTGTTTGGGCGAGAAATTGGATTAAACCAGAGATTTTGTTATACATTTGTCGATAAATTTTCTTCTAAAATTTTGACAGATGTAAATATAATACAATCGTAATGTAATTAATTACATTGTAACTGGTAAGTAACTATAATATAACTCGTATGCAACTTCGTAAAGTTTTAAACATTAGATTTGCTTTAGAATTTGTGCAAGCGAGGAAGAAAAGAATCACAGTTGGCGCCTATGTGAGAAGATTAGGTCCCATGACCTCCGTTTCACACTAATAGCATGTTACCTAGAGAATTTTGAAAGTTATATACAAATTAGATTATAGTTACATGCAAGTTACAATGTAATTACATTATGATTATACTATATTTACATATATCAAATTTCTTCGTTTAAATTTGACGACAAATAGAGTAAAATGTATTCAAGGTGAGTCAACTTGGCAGGTGAGTGCAAATTGGTGCAACAACTTGAGAAATAAACGTCATAGTGCAACAACTTGGCAGATGGGTGCAATTTAGCGTAAGAACTTTATAATTGAATGTATAAGTCATAACAACTTTCAAGGTGGGTCCAGTTTTGATACAATAAGTAGAAGTGACGCGACAAATAATTATTTTGAGATTTTTCTATACAAATTCAATTTTACGTACTTATACTAATGCAAATTTGTGTAAGCATATTTAAATTTTTATTCTAATAACTGAAAGTCAACTAAATTTTACTAAGTATAAAAATATTATATTTCGGTTGAGATTTGAGAAGGTGAAGAAAACAAAATCCAAACCGTTGGTGCAAATTGGTTGTGGAACTTAATTCTTATGGTCGAGTTCAAGATTATAAGGTAATATTTGTAAGATTGCTATATGAGAGCATATTGATTCAGTGAAAAAAATTATCTAACACTCATTTACCAGAACAACATATACTTTGCTAAGTTGTTGTACCAAAAAATTAATAAATTGTATTTGTATTAGAATACACCCACTTACCAAGTAATTACACTTGGACGTTCAATTATCAATTTTTTATACTATATCGTATCTATCTACCAAGTTGCTAGATCATGTGTAATAATTTACTACGATGAACCTTGTTGGCTTGTACTCCCTCTGTCTTAAAAAAATGAATCTAGTACTGGATATGACATATTCTAGTACAACGAATTTAAGATTATAGGTATGTCTAGATTTGTAGTGTTAGGATGCAGGTTAGTTTTTTATGGGACGGAGGAAGTATGGTTTAATATATTTGGGCCGATTTCAACCCATCAGATTTGGGCTAATCTTTCAAAAGAGAACTTATGGGCTCTCTCCCTTCAGTTTATGGGCCTTCCACAGTAAAAAGCCTTGTGCTCTTTTCCACTTCGTCTTCCTCCTGCGAACAGTCCAACCCCTCCGCCTCCGCCTCTGCAGTCCGCCGCCGGCGGCCGGCGGATGGCCGCCTCCCGCCGCCTCGCGCGAAAGCTCCCGTCTCTCATCTCCAAGCACCAGCGCCTCATCTCGCCGGAGATCGATGTCGAGCAAGCCGCCGAGAGCCCCGCGTCGTCGTCGTCCATCCCGCTCGACCCCTCCCTGCCCATTCTCCCGCTCGCCGTCTCCCACCTCTCGCCGCCGAGCCCTCTCCCGGCGCTCCCCTCGGTGCACGCGTCCACCCCGGCCGCGCTCCTCCGCATCCTCCGCCGCGCGCGGCACCACCCGCGCCTGGCGGCGCTCGACCTCCACCTCCTCCTCGCGGCCGCGTCCGACTCCCCGGCCTTCCGCCCCGACCACCGCCTCACGTCACTGCTCGCCTCCCGCCTCGCGGAATCCCGCCGCCTCCCCTCGCTCCGCCGCCTCCTCGAGCTCGTCCTCTTCCGCCCCTGCCCCTGCACCGACGACTCCATCTTCGCCTGCCCCGAGCTCCTCCCCACATTCCGCAAGGCCATCCTCGCCTTCGCCGCCTCCGGCGACATCCCCGCCGCGTCTGACGCCCTCGCGTCCCTCCGCCGCGCCGCTGATTCACCTCTCCCCGCCGAATTCTACAACATCATCCTCCACGCACTCGCCCGCCTCCGCCGCCACGAAGACACCGTCCGCTTCTACGGCGAGATGACCTCCACCCACCGCGTCCATCCGGATGTCTACACCTTCAACATTCTCATCAACAGCTCCTGCCGCGCTGAAGGCGTTGATGCTGCGATGCGCTGGTTTCAGGAGATGCGACGTTGGAGCTGTTCACCGACTGGTGTGAGTTTCAATACTCTGATGCGTGGGTTCTTCAGAGAAGGAAGGTGCAAGGAGGGCATTAAGGTTGCACGCGAGATGCTTCAGCTTGGATTTGGGCTATCGGTTGCATCCATGGAGATCATGATCAATGGGTTGTGCCGTGGTGGGGAGCCTCTGAAGGCGGCCGAGGTTTTCATCGAGTTTTTGGTCGATGGAGTGGTGCCGGAAGGGTTTGATTGCTTGGATCTGGTTGAGTCTCTGTGCCGTGTTCGGAATGTGGAGAAAGCAGTGGAAGTGGTGGAGTTGATACTGGAAAGGAATTGGGTATCCTGCTTGGGTGTCCCTGCTGGTGTAACGGTTTTGGAGTGCCTGATGAAGGAGGGGAAGCTGGACAAAGCATGCCAGATGATGGGGAGGATGGTTGCTGCGGAGATAGTTCCGGATACCATTTCTTGTAACTATATTTTTGAGGCGCTCTGTGAAGCTGGGAGGACAGTGGACGCAAACAGGCTGAGGCTGCAGGCTAAAGAGAAAGGTTTTCAGGCTGATGGCTTTACATACAGCATCATTGTGCAGGGCTTTGGGAGGCAGGGAATAAGGAAAGAGGGGGAGGCTGTATTGGATGAAATGCTGGATGCAGGATATGTACCAAACATTGCGACTTACAATAGGCTGCTTGATGGCTTACACATGGGGAGATCTATGCAATTACAACAAAAATGTTCAAGGCATAGGAATGCAGCAAACTGAAAGAATATCATAGAGATGAAGAAGCTAGCTTGGATTTCAGAGAGATGCTAGATGATACCTTCTCAATTGCTCTGATACAGGTTAGAATTTTGCCAAGGATTTGAACTGAAGCGTTTCTGATTATACTTTTCCACTGCAAATTACTAATCTCGATTGCGTCACCCTTATGCATTCTTAGTAAAAGTGCCTCTATATCTTCTCCACAGGCTCTTTCATGTGTGATGTTAATCATATCTGGCTATCGGCAAACAAATTGAGTATTTTTATCTATCTTCATGCACATTTTATGTTTATTCTGTTAATCACTTTGCTTAGATTCCTAGTAAGGCCTTCTATGGAACAAAGGAAAAAAAAGGTTGTCAGGGTTGTTTAATTTATATTATCTTAGGTTGTAATGTTTTATCTGTATACCGTCCAGTGGTCAGTTTTAGGTTTTTACACAGATGCAGCCTAGATAAACCAGAATTTGCTAAAGAAAGTTAAATCTGATTTTTTAATAGTGACGTTGAGCATTGGTTTTGTAATTACTTCATTTACCTCCCGGCGTAATTACTTCATTTACCTGTTTTGAGTACCACTTGGATTTTTTTTCAGGGATCATAAACCACATTTTTATAGCATTTTTATGCATGTCTCTATCAGTAAATTTGGTATGGATTTGAAATGTATCATCCCCTCAGTTATCTTGGCTCCAAGAACTGAATAGGAATAACTTTGTAGGAACCTTGCCTAAGCAACGAAGGGTCAAATATTTCATGAACTCGTCCTTTTCTTTTCAGGAGCTTGAGATCAGAGATCAATCAGCACCGGTCTGCCACAGCAACCATCCAAGCCTGAGCTGCGCGTGGCCACTGCCAAACGAGTTGCAACTGCACTAGGCCGAGGTTGCCTATCCGGTCCTGTTTCAGCCCCCAGAACACCACCACCACCTCATGCTGCTCTGCTCACTGCTATTCTCTTGGAGCAGGAGGCTGCCGTTGAGTTGCTGCTCAGGATTTCCAGTAAGATGTTTCCTTGCGAACACGCTGGCGGTGGTGGCAATGTGGATTCAGTCATCAATGATGGGAAATTGGGAACGACATCAGAGGCAACAAGTACTGAACTCTGCAAGAGCCTCAGAATTTTCTGAAGGGAAAGGATGTGAGGATGGTATCTTGTGCCTGTGAATGTGACAAGCAATGAAGCAAATCCCTGGAAGTTTTGACATCGGCTTCACCCAAAAACCCGTTGTCACATCAGGTACCAAAAAGTTTTGGCAAATATATTACAAGATGATCTTGTCAATCTTTCATATGTTGGATAGAAATGCTTTAATTTTGGTCGCTTCAGAGATCATGCATCTACTTGTGACGTTGGCTGGCATGCATGGCTATTTGGTCATATTGGTTATGTGTACTTTCGGTGGTTGAGCATTTCATTCAATTATCATTTTTAGATTATTGTTGTTCTAACATATGCAGAAATTCTGAAGTAGAGCAAAGTATTCTTGTTTTCATCTATTAGGAGGTATACTCAAAATTCGTTCATTTCAGCTTACAAGTTTTGAGTACATGCATGAACCCTTGGGATTTATCTCCACAGAGAATTGACATCTTCTGATTCCGAAATCCCAACCAAACTTCTTAAACTGGATTTGACTAACTTGAAATTCTTCAGTAGTTTACCGAGCCACATTTACTCTGGAACATTGGTCGATGCATACAAATACTCTGTTTTACTTCATATTTACACATTTTGTCAAGTAGAGCAACCAATATTCTACCAGATATCCCTAATTCGTTCTAATATACCCGTGAAATGCAATCGATGAGCAGCAAAAGGGTCAGCACCGCGAGCGTCGCAGTGCGCCGCTCGGCGGCGGGTCGAGCCAGAGCGTGCACTGCGGCTTGACCCAGTATCTGTACCTGAAGAACCACCGGTCGAAGTTGAGCTGCGTGCGGAACCGGCCGGCGAGCCGCAGCGCCACCGGCCTGCCGCCCTTGGCCGTCGCGTTCCGCCACAAGGCCGCGTCCTGCCGCGTCACGGACACACTGCTGACCACCAGGTGCACTCTCCGGGGCACGCTGCCGCCGGGCGCCACCTGCACTGGCGCCGGCCACACCGCCTGCGCGGCGACCACGCTGTCCTCGAAGTAGAGGTCGAACCGCACGTAGCGCAGCACGATGCCGATCTTGGTGTTGGGGTTGGAGATGGCGGCGAGGACGGTGAGGTTGGCGCTGATCGCCCGCCGCGCGCTGTCGCCGCGCTTTGTCGATGTGCGCCGCTGCGTTCAGGGTGGCGGAGGTCACTCTCAGCCGGGGTGACTTGGGGTGGTAGGCGAGGGAGACGGCGACGGTGGCCAGGCAGACGGCGATGATCAGAAGCAATACGTGGATGTAGAACAGGATGTGGCAGAACGCCAGCGGCTTCCTCTTCATTTTGATCTGATAGTGGAGACTCGGTGTCAGCGGCCGTGCTGCGCCGTCGCCGTCGCCCGGGTGCGCCGCCGGTGCGCACGGTTGTCTTCGGGATGGTGATAGTCCTGGCTGGCCGTTCTCCGGCTAGCACCACTACCGGCGTCTTCTCTGCCTGCTGCTGTTCTTCCGGCGCGGCTGCGCGCGGTGGCGCCGCGGCGTGACGCTGCTTCTTCTTCTCCTCCTCCTCCTCCACCCTTCTCTGCCACAAAGGCACATAGGACGGCCGTCGCGGCGGCGCGTGCTTCTGCCACGGCTTCGTCGCGGGGCGCGACGCCATGCCGGAAGCATTCGTCTTGGTGTCTCGGCTCGCCGCCGCCGCCCGCATGTGGCGCCAACGGGCGGTTGCCCATGGCTCGGCAAGGCCACACACGTACGTGAAAGGAGCACGAAACGGAGTAGCTAGTCAGTGTCCTTGAATTTATGGGACGAGGAAGAAGCGAGAATTTTGGAGGGAAAAGGAGAAGAAATGAGAATTTTGGAGGGAAAGGGAGAGAAGGAAGGTATCCTTGCTTATACAGTGGTAGTGGTACTGACTAGTAGGTGGTAGCCAAGGAATTTTTCGCTGGCTTGGCAAGCGAGCTTACTTCCATTTTTCTGAAAAGGAACAGAGAGCTTCCTTCATTGCCACCTATTCCAAAACTAGCTCATTAATCCAGCAGAGAAATCACTCTGTAACACATCAGGTAACAGAAGGTTTTGGCAAATATTGTCCAAGATGATATTGTCAGTCATCCTAATGTTAGAGACTTTCTGTTTCATGCACTTGAGCAGATCAACCCCATCCTTGTGAAGCATTGCGTCTTCAATGTACCGATATCGTGATCACATAGATTCTATTCATTTCAGCCTAAGTTTCGAGTACTTCACGGCTTCACCGGCTCCTGGATTTATCTCCAAGGCAAAACTGACATTTGCTGATTCCCAAGATCCTTAAACCGGTAATCACTAACGTTTAAATTTGCAAAAGTTTATCATGGAAAAACTTGCACATTTTTGTCAAGTAGAGCAGCCAAATATTCTTTGCTTGCCATCTCTAATTAACTCTATCCTTGGTTCCATAATCCCATTCGAGCAGCAAAAATTGCAGAAGAATTCAAATTAATTCAATCAAAAAATAGCTAATCGAAGATAATAGACCAGTAGTTTGTAGTTTGCTCTTCTAGGCTGATGAAAACGACCAGAAATTAAGCAGATTGACGCAGCAGCAGGGGGACGAACGCGCGGGGTCAGCTGCACCGCGCGCGACGCAGCGCGCCGCTGGGCGGCGGGTCGAGCCAGAGCGTGCACTGCGGCGAGACCCAGTAGTTGAACTTGAACCACCGGCCGAAGATGAGCCGCGCGCGGAAGCGTCCGGCGAGGTGCAGCACCACGGGCCCGCCCTTGCTCGTTGCGTTCTGCCACTCGTACACGTCCTCCTGCGTCATGGTGACCTCGCTGACGACGAGGTGGACGCTCCGGAGCACGCTGCCGCGGGGGCCCTCGTGCAGCGGCGCCGGCCACACCGCCTGCGTCCCGATCATGCTGCCCTGGAAGTAGAGGTCCAGCTGCATGTAGCGGAGCACGACGTGGAGCTTGGTGTTGGGGTTGTAGATGGCGGCGAGGACGGTGAGGTCGGCGTTGAGCGCGCGCGCGCCGCCGACGATGCCGAGCTCGTCGACGTACCCGGCGTTCAGGGTGGCGGAGGTCACCCGCATCCTGGGCGACTGCGGGTGGTAGATGAGGAAGATGACGAGCACGGCGGCGCCAACGGCGATGACCAGCAGCCAGAAGAGGATGCAGCACGCGGTGAAGCAGAACGCCACCGGCCGCCTCTTCTTGTCGTTCCGAGGGCGCAGCATCGGCGACTTGGCCGGCGTCCGCGCCGGTGCCTCCGACGATGGCGATGGCGATGCGTACGACCCAGGCTCATTGTGCGGCCGCCATGGTGACGGAGAGCTGCGGCCCGGCAGCGCCGGTGTCCCCGGCGACGTGCGCGGATGTCGCGCCGCCGTTGCGAACCCAGGCTCATCTTGTGGTGGCCGGGCGGCCGGGAAGGTGCGGCCCGGCGGCGCCGGTTCGGCCGGGTAGGTGACGCCGTCGTCCTCGTCTCTGATCGTGCTGGTGCGCTCGATACTCTTATGGGTGTCTAAGATCTTCGCCGGCTTTAATCCTGGTGGTCCTAACCGCGGCTCCTGCGGTTCTTCCGGCACGGCGGCGGGCGGTGCTGGGTGGCCAGCAGGCGCCGACCATGGCGTCCGGCCATGGCTACCCTCCTCCGCCCTTCTCAGCCGCGCAGGCAGGTAGGACGGCTTCTTCCCTGGCCTCCTCGCCAGGGCGGCTTCCTCCCCGGCGACGGCGTCGCCGTGAACCGGCGATTGCGGCACTTCCGTTACTTGGGTCACGAAACGAGTGCGTCGGTCCGGACGGGCGCTGGTACCGGCGCCACCGTCGCCCGGCGCCACGGCGTGCCGTACGCCATGGACGATCTCTTCTTGGCGACGCTCCTGCGGCGGCGCGTGCGTCTGCGGCGCCGGCCCCCGCGTCGTCGGCGCCGCAGTGCCGGACGCACGGGCACGGCTCCTCGGCTCGCTGCCGCCCGCCGGCTGTTTGCCCATGTCTCAGCAAGTCACACAGCTACACAAGTGAGAGAGAGAGAGAGGAGAGGATGGAGATGGATCGGAAGTGTGAGAGGTTCTTGGCTTTCTTCTTCTAGTGAGCAATTCAGCGTCCATGCACTTGAAGGAGAAGAGGAAGAAGAAGAAGAAGCAAGAAATGGGAATTTTGGAGGGAAAGGGAGGCAAGGAAGGTATCATTTGATTTGTGACTGAGGCAAGCAACTTAGCAGCCATCATGTCTGGCTGTCTGAACATGCAATTTCATAGTATTACACTGGAGTACTTACCACTACTAGTAGTAGCCAAGGAATTTTTCATGGCTTGGCAAGAGGGCTTCCTTTCTTCGCTGCCACCCAGCTCCAGCTGAGACCAAAACTTGTACTATGCATCCAGCAGAAATGGCTGCCATGATCTGCACAAAAGTGGTTTTTGTCGAGAGGATATATAGATGTTTAATGATTTTATCTCCCATTGGTTCATTATTACTGGGCAATCTCGCTGACGAATTAAGGGTGCGTGTTAGTGACCCATGTTATAAGCAGAGGTTAAAAATGACCTTATCAGCCACACTCAAAATGAGAAATATAATTAACATATAATTAATTGAGTATTAATTATTAAAAAAAATATATTTTATTTTTAAAATCATTTTTTATGTAAGAAAACTTTCATACAAAACATATCGTAGCGATATGTAAAACGTGTTAACAAAATTTGAGAAAGTAGCCAAGCCAATCCCGATTTTAGAACATGCGCTCAACGTGTGCTTAGGGGCTGTTCAAATTGATGCCATTTTCAATCATATCATTTTTGGTAAAGTTACTAAAATAATATCTATGTTTAGTTTGTTGCTAAATTTGATAAATACATAAGAAATTCTGCTAAAATTTTGGCAATATTGCCATCTTGCTAATTTGGTAAGATTTATTTTGGCTACAATCTGAATAGGCCTAAAGTGCTTGCTTGGTTCGGATTCAGGTGTTCTTTTGCGTTTTTTTTTTGATTTTTTTCTGTTTAAGAAAAAGTTTTCTAAATCGAGATCACCAAAACTCCAAAAAGCGATCGTGTTTAGTGGACGAGTCTACGGGTCGGGCGCCCGATTGGTTTGGAGAAAAATAAGACGCTGATGTCCCGATTTACGTGCAAAATTACTTTAAATTGATTTTTTATTAAATTACTTATTCAAATCATAATCCGATTGTACCATTAAATTCGTTGCAATTAAATCTTCAAAACAAGACCACACATGGATATATTTTGACGAAATTTTTTTAGCTTATTATTGAATTATTTTTAAATGTTGCATGATGTTCCACCAGGTATATCGGAATTGTTTTATTAAGTAGATCGAAAATGTTTCACTCGTTAAAATCGGGTGTTGTTTCACCTTATATAAAAACAATGTTTCAGCAAATAGCGAAAGAATATTTCAGTTCACTGCAACATTTGATCCATACATAGTGAAACATTATAAGTACACTAGGTGAAACATTTTTCGGTGGAACAAAAAATAAAACGAATTCCCTTAATAGGGGGTTTCTAAAATATGTGGTTTTTTTTGTTGCAATGGAATATTTTAGTTCACTGCAACATTAGACCTATATATAGTGAAACATTGTGAGAGTCTAAGCTGCGAAGGGTTGGTGGTCCCTGTAGCTCCAAGGGCTCCATCGGAGCTTTTCTCTTGCCTTTAGAAAGCTCCTCTTTCGGGGACTCCACACTCCCCCCACTTGGTGCTCTTCTCCAAACGGCATGGTTTGGAGACTCAAATGATGGATATACAAGCGTGATAACTTATATGCTTTTCCATATCTCCATAAATCTACCCACTTTTGCTTGCATTGTATTATTTGGTCTACGTACCAGAATTGATAACATTCGAGATTATGCAGGATTATACACGAAAGATCCTTTTTTGGCTCTTTCTTTAGCTGTACACTAGGTGAAACATTTTTTGATGGAACAAAAAATAAAACGAATTCCTTTAATAGGGGGTTTCCAAAATATGTGGATTTTTTGTTATAATGAAATATTTCAGTTCACTGTAACATTAGATTTATACATAGTGAAACATTATGAATATAGTGAAATATTTTTGGTGCAACAAAAAATAAACCAAATTCCTTTAATAGAGGGTTTGCAAAATATGTTTGTGATTTGTTGCAATGAAATTATGTGTGTGGATAAGTAGCAGGTGGGGACAGGGGGCATGTGGTGGAAGCCCAGAGAAGCTGCTGGTGTACACGTGATTGGGGGAGGGGGGAGCGACCAATTTTTTCCCATCCCCCGTGTGACCGAGAAGGAGCATTCTCGTGTTGGAATAAGTTCATCGTAGGTCCCTTAACTTGCCAACGAATCTGATTTTCATCCCTCAACCGAAAAACCAGATACAACGGTCCCTCAACTATCAAAACCGGTGCAGATTAGGTCCCTCGGCGGTTTTGAGGGTGGTTTTGTCTGACGTGGCGCCTACGTGGCTAATTTGACTCGGTCTTCATCTGACGTAGCATTGACGTGGCGCCTACATGTCAATTCGATCCGAAAAAATAATAAAACACATGGGACCCACATATCAGTTTCACAGAAAAATTAATTAAAGAATGGTGGGGTCTATGTGAGCCCCATATGTCATCCTCACCCCTCTTCTTCCTCCACTCTCCCCATCTCCCCTCTCTTCATCTCTCTCCTCTCCTCTCCTTTCTCTCTCCAGGCGACGGAGAGGCAGCGGCACACGGCGGCGGAGCTGGAGCCACACGCGCGGCGGCTCCCGGTCGTCGCTGGCCGACTTGTGCAGCGGCGCCGGAACAGGAGGAGGTGGCGGCCGCGACGCCAACTACGACGTGCTCGTGCCGTCGTCCTTCGTGCGCACCGACGGCTGCGGCGGTGGCGAGTGGTGACCGCTTCCCGCCGGTCCACACGTTTGGCTTCGGCAAGGACCACGACGCGGTGGCGATGCACACCATCGCCGAGGTCACCGGCGGGACGTTCTCCTTCATCGAAAACAAGGCGGCCATCCAGGACGGGTTCGCGCAGTACATCGGTGGCCTCCTCAACGTCGCCGTGCAGGAGTTCCACTTCGACGCCGAGACATGGAGAGGACCGGACGGACCACGAGTCCACGAGCGTGGCCGGCGACGAGGAGGCGGAGTCCGGCGTCGCCGAGCGCTCCGTGGAGGTGGACCGAGCTAGTCCGGGTGGAAGCCATCGACGACATCGCGCTGGAGCGCAAGTTCCGCCGCCTCGACGAGAACTCCGTCGTGGTCTCCTTCATGCAGTGGTTGGCGCGGAGCTACTGATTCCAACCGGTGCTGAGAAAACTCAACAAACTAACAGACTCTGAAACTGAAGAAAAAACTGACGCGCTACAGTATCTAAGACTGAAAATAACAAACTCAGGAGAAAACACAAGTTTACATATATTCCAACAGCTACCACCACGTCGCCTGCCACGACGGCTTCAAGGTGCTCCACCAGCTGTAGAAGGCACCTCTACAACAACAACAACCTCTAGCTCCGCCGCCGTGGGCAGGAGTCCGACGATGATCTCGGGTTCACGTTGTGCGACGATTACTACTCGCCGCCGCCGAAGTTGGTGGACTTCGTCGCCGACCATCCGTTCGCCTCCTTCTAGCTACTCCACGCCACGACCCCTTCCCGTGCTGCCGCTCCTAGGCACTGTTGCGACCGGTCACCTCGCCGCGCGACGCCCTGCGAAGACGATGGATTGCGACCTCTCCTCGACGATGAAGCCCTGCGAGGACGAGGAGCTCGCCCGCCGCCGCTCCTCCTCTGCTCCCCCAGCCCGCTTCGCCCGCTCGTCCACGCCTCGCCGCCGAAGTGCTGTCCTGCTCGTCGGCCTCCACGCGCGCTCATCGGCCTCCCTCCGTCGCCTGGAGAGAAAGGAGAGGAGAGAGAGATGAAGAGAGGGGAGATGGGGAGAGAGGAGGAAGAAGAGGAGGGGTGAGGATGACATGTGGGGCCCACGTGGGCCCCACCATTTTTATTAATATGTGTGTGAAACTGATATGTGGGTCCCATGGGTTTTATTATTTTTTCGGATCAAATTGCCACGTAGGCGCTACGTCAATGCCATGTCAGATGAAGTCTGAGTCAAATTAGCCACGTAGGTGCTACGTCAGCCAAAACCACCATCAAAACTGCCGAGGGACCTAATCTACACCGGTTTTGATAGTTGAGGGACCCGTTGTATCTGTGTTTTTTCGGTTGAGGGACGAAAATCAGATTCGCTGACAAGTTAAGGGACCTCAGATGAACTTATTCCTTCTCGTGTTTAGTGCCGGCCGGCCCACGCAAGGTATGCTGGGCCGGACAATGCACCGCAAAACGGCGTAAAAACCTCTCCCCCTATTTTTTTATATAGAAAGGATTTGGACGGATGTGATTCCCTCGCTTCCGATCGGACGGACGGGATAACACCCATGGGCCCACTTGTCATTGAGCGTGGAGACGACCAGCCACCCCACCCGACGCCTCGGCCCCCTCGCAAATGTAGGAAAATCAGAAGAGAAGAAGCGAAAGCGACGCCGCCTCCACTCCGCCGCGCGGCTGCTCTCTCTCCCTCTCTAAAACCCTAGCAGAGGAGCACGGCGAGGAGAGGAGAGGAGGGGGAAGGAGGGAGAGGCCACGGGGAACGCGATCGCCTTCGTGCCGCCCATGGAGACGACCATGGGATTCTGGGGTGCGTTCCTCTTGCCCCCGAACCCTACTACTGTTTCTCGCTCCCGATTCGACGCCATCTTTAATTTTTTTTGGTCGCGCCTAGTCGATAGGGGAAATTTTGAGGGGTAAAAATGGTGTGGTGGATTGTTGATCCTCGGTTTCTTGGTTAAATGCTGGGTTTCCCCCCATATGCTCCGGAGATCTGGGGATATTTTCACCGGCAATGCTTCCTGATAGGATGCGGTGGTATTTTGGTGTATTTGGGGGAGAAATAGAAGCAATATTCGTGTAGGAAAATGCAGTCATACCCTTGAACTTTAATCAGGCTCTTGGCAGAACTGCAGGAAATTTGGCTATTCCATTGATGAGTTGGATTCAAGTGAACAAGTTGATATCTAGGAGTAATAAGGCAGTAGTTTGTCTTAATGAACTGTGCCTTGCTCTGGAGAGTAATACATTCCCTGCTTCTGTTTGGTGGTTCCTGGATTTAGTATAGTTTGTATTTTCATGTTATGGTTGGATGATTTAGTGCTTCAGTTTTTTTAATGAATTAAGCATGGCATGAAGCTTACTGGAGAGTGTTGACTGGCAAGGTCGATGTTGATTGGTCAATCTTTGATTTTTCAGGTCTTCATGATTGACTATGGTTTCTTCTTGCCCATGTAGATATGAAATATTTATCACTGAAATACGCGCATTCTTCTACTTATATTTGCCTTCGATTATGCGTTGTACTTATTCTGAACACAAGTGTGGCATTCAAACTGCCCGTTGGCATGCCACTAATGTTTTTTCCCCTCTGTGTCAACTGTGAAGAGATCTTTTGATCGCGTTGGACACAAGCGTGATGGGCATATTTGTAGAGCTTAAGAAAGAAGCAAATGTTTGTCATTCCCAATTTCACGTGTTGCTCATTTTTACCAATGTTTACTAATGGCTTTCATGAATGTAATTCACATTTCTAGGAGTTGCTGTCAGACCTGGAGAGACAGTGATGTGTGATCCACCAGGAGAATTCTATTATCATATTTCACAGGTTTGTTTAACAAATTGTACCTAAAAGCTCATTTGGAGGTGGATCAAGTTTGTTTACTTTAAGTTCCCATTTTCACTGCAGATAGCGTTAGAGCCTGGTGAGCTGAATGAGAACGTGCAAGTTTTTGGTGAAGTTGATGGTAAAAGGATTCTGCTCGGCACACTTTCAGTTGAACATCGTCCTCAGTTGTCAATTGATCTGGTGTTTGAAAAGGAGTTTGAGTTACTGCATACCTCAAAGACCTACAACATCTTCTTTTCTGGCTACCAAGCTGCGGATGCGAGAAGATATCCTTTTGCATTTATAATGATCTTTCTTCAAATAAATCATGAGTAGGAATATTTTTCCTTAACCTTTTGCCTGGCTGTATGCACATCTGACTCTCCTACTGAAGAAGGTATGTGTCCTTGTTCTTTACTAGTAGTAATTGGTCATCTCTGATGTTTCCGCTGCACTTGGCCTGATTCTCATAAGATGTGATGTTTCAGGTGATGAATCTGATGAGGAGGTTCCACTGGCTATTCCACTATTCCCCAATTCAGATGGTATATAATTTGCTAATCGTAACAATTATTTTATAAGACTTAAGAAGATAGCATGGTAATTGAACTTATAAGACTTTATATATTTTTACGCTAGAATCTGATGCACATGCTAATACAAGCTGGTAAGCGAATCTTCGAATGATACACTCTTTTATGTTATCTACTTTCAGATGATAAGATCAAAGAAGTTCAAAACAGTCCAAGTAAGTTTGCCACACTTAAGTCTGCTGCTGCTGCATCCCCTACACCAGAGGCTATTGTAGAGGAAAGAAAGAATTATGGGAAATCAGAAGCTGATGATGATGACAGCGATGAAGAAAGTGATGCTTCAGGCGAGGATGAATATGATGATGATGAGGTTTGTAAAACAGTAACACTATTAAAACTAGCAGCATGCTGATTCTTGTTCAGACTGAAACCATGACATGGTTTTGGACTTCGGTAGGTGTGCGAACAAAGTTTTCTTTATGCTAGATATGTTATGATCATGCGATATATTTGTAGGATATGATTGATAAACAGGATTCTAGTGATGATGATGGTGATAGTTCGGATGAAGAAGAGACTCCTTCAAAGGTGTGAGCTTGTTCAAGGCTAGCAACCCCAATTATGGACAGCAAAGCTGGTCGGAAACTGTTTCTTTTGATTTGTTTTCCCCCCTAAATTCACTGTTTTTTTTATGGCACAGAGATTGCATTTCTCACTTGTAGATCTTGTGTGCAGGAACTGGCAAGAGAAGTGGCTACGTCCATGTCGCGACTCCTTATCCAGCAAAACAGGCAAAGAAGACACCTGTAAACAATGACATGGCTAAGCAATCCTCTGGCTATGTCCACGTTGCGACCCCTTATCCAGCAAAACAGGCAAAGAAGAGGACTGCCAATAATGACATGTCTGAGCATTCTGCTGGTTATGCCTGCAAGCCATGCAACAAGTAAATTTTTGTTCTTTTCATTTGAATGATTTACCTTAGTAATGCTGCTATATCCTCACATATGCACTTCCTATTTTGCTCAGGACTTTCAACACCTCTATGGGTCTGGAAGCTCATTCCAAGGCGAAACACACTGCAACTAAGTGATCTGAAATACCTTCTGGGCAATCCTGTGTAGGTGTGTTAGTGATAGGTAACTGAATTCTGAAGCTGGAGATCCAGATATTTTGATGAAGCACAATTTTGGAGCACTTGCCAAGTTTCTGAAACATGTAGATATATGGCGCTTTTTTAATGAATGCGTATGGATGTTGCACGTTTCATTGTTCTGGGATCTGCTCTTTTTTTTTTCCTGAGTGTGTTTGGACGGACAAAATCTGGTTTAACGATCCCAATACCGGGATAAAAAACTGCTCATATCGGACACAATCTGGGTTAACGATCCCAATACCGGGATCAAAAACTGCTCGTATGGTATCTTTGGATTTCGTGGAAACCAATGATAAACCAACAAAAACTGGTGGTGTATGTCTGTAAAAAAAACCGTTTCGTCTGTGTTTTAGACAAGTCTGGGATGTCCAGATTTACATACAAAACTTGTACTAAAATTCTCAACCGTTCGATTCCTTAAGTGTGATTAGCCACGAGTCCATGATCGTGGCAATAAAACAAATCATTGCCTTGGAGTGCAGAAATCAGCATATCATGATTTCATCGCAGAGTTGAGTTACTCCCTCCGTACGTTTAGGATAATGTTCAAGGGTCTGCTTAGTTGGTGAAATGAAAATTTTTAGGGGTTTTATCGGACGTTTGACCGGGTGTTGGAAGGGTTTTTTTTATACGAATGAAAAAACTAATTTCATAACTCGCCTGAAAACCGCGAGACGAATCTTTTGAGCCTAATTAATTCATCATTAGCACATGTTTTGAGCCTAATTAATCCATCATTAGCACATGTGGGTTACTGTAGCACTTATAGCTAATCATGGACTAATTAGGCTAAAAAAAATTCGTCTCGTGATTTCTATACAAACTGTGCAATTAGTTTTTCTTTTTATTTATATTTAATGCTCCATACATGTGTCTAAAGATTCGCTGTGATGTTTTTGGAAAAAAATTTTAGAATTACACAGGGCCTGTTTAAGTCAAACATTGGGAATATAAATCATGAACAAATCTCAAGTTGTTGAGTTTGAAAATATAAAAGTTATACAAATATATTTGTCTTGAAAAATATTTTCATAAAAATATACATATATCACTTTTCAATAAATATTTTTTATAGAAACAAGAACCGTGTCGCTGTTTAAAACGACTTCCGTTACAAGTATGGAGGGAGTACATGCGATCGTGTGCACAGAATGGAAAGAAAACGAAGAACTTGACCAAATATCAAATACCCAAACCACAGTAGAGCATAGAAGACAGAGTATAAAACCTCGTAACCAAGAAAGCAGACTAGTCTCCGCATTGTCACAGGCCATCACAGCACAAATAACATCGTTTTGTAATTAATAGTCACACAGACCATCACAGCACAAATAACATTGTTTTGTAATTAATAGTACTACCTAGCTTGTAACCTCATCCAACTTGGATGTTTCTGGATTTTTAAGCAACGTTTTCGCCAAAAAATAAAATAAAAGAAACATTTAGCAAGCAAAATTGGGTATGCCCCAGGTTGTAGGGCCAAAACTGCCTATTAGAGGATCATCTTTGAAGCAAAAGCAGCTGCAGTCAAACATGCCACCAGTAGTTCACTTGGCTGGATGTCTTGCCTTCTGATGAGACCGGAGTGATTTATCACTACTAAATGCCCTGTGAGAGAAAAGAACCATCTAATGTTAGAATGCTTGTGATAAGACTGCATCTTATCACAGCATAATAATAAACTGCCAAGCTGTATACATACTTGCTGCAATACTTGCAGGCATGGGTGCCGGAGGATTCGGGAGTCTCCTTATTTGGTTTGCTGATTGCCGGCGTCTTGCCATCTTCCTTTGCTGGATGAGTATTCTTATCACCTTTAGTAAATGCGAAAAATTAGCTAAAGTTGAGTCCCCTGTGTGTTGCAAGGTTAATAAAAATAGCGTCAGTCCGGCAGAGCTAACCTGTTTTCTGGCCAAAGTGTGTTGCAGTCTTTGACTTCTTACCAGAAGAAAGTGTAGATCCAGCAGCTGTCAGCTTGCTGCTCTCAGGCTGCCGAGCACAAAACAAGAGTCAGATCGCATCTTAGAGACAAATCAAGAGTCAGATCGCATCTTAGAGACAAATCAAGAACAGTGGCAGATATCGGGCATACTTTCTCTGGAATTTCATCTTCCTCATCACTTTCATCCTCTTCATCAGTGGACACCATCGATGAAGATGATTCATCCTGCCCATCACTCCCATCCTCTTCTTCACTGGACTCCATTTCTGCTGGTAACTCATCAGATCCATCATCCTCATCACCTGACTCATCCTTAAGGGGAAAAAAGTGAGCAATATTACAAAAACTATACATAAGACTTTCTTCGTCATAAAACTATACATAAAACTTTATGAGGGTAAATGCACTTTCATCATAAACTTACATCATCATCATCGGATGAGGACGAGTCCAAAGAATCATCATCATCATCAGATGAGGACAAGTCCATACCATCATCAGAATTATCCTTTTTACCTTCCTCTGCAACAGGCCTTCCCAGATGTTTACCTTAACAAATATAGTGATATACAGCAATCCCAGAGCATTAATTCAGCCATTGTCAAGAAAGCGCATGTGTGATCTTAAACGCGCAACTAATAAAAAGAAAATAAATCTGCATACCCATAATGTCACAGATGTCAGACATGTTTTCATCTTCATCTGAAATAAGGACATACTAGTTAGTTTATGTTATAATAGAAATATTGGATACTTAAACAATAGAAATTATTTCAGAAATATCAGTCAATGAATTTACCCTCATCTTCACGAGAATCGGATGTGAGAAAAGAAACAACATGGTTAAGGAAACAAGGTTCCCAAAGGATATTTCAAATAAAATCTAAATATGATTCGAAAATAATTCCAAGTGCATATGTTGAAGGATATTCATATGGGTTAGGCATGTCAGTCTTGTAACCACACAGGAAGACACTAGTAGTCTTTGAACTGTGTGAAAGCTCAAAGTCATTGCCAATAAACAAATCACACATAAATTGAGGATGATTTTTAGCCGATAGATTTCCAATAACTGTCTTCTTGCCATCAACTTTAACAGATACAACTACATTCTCACTTCCTGCCTTCTTTGTTTCTCCCAGTGCAACCTAAAAAAAGTAACAATAACATGAAAAGATCAATTATGTAAGGACCGAGATTGAGAACGAACACAAATTATAAATAATCAGACAAGTTGTATTTAAATTTTATTCTCTCCCTCCCTTTTTTTGTTCGTTGTGTGTGTTTGGAAGATGAGGGTTGAGGGTGCTAAACCTGTGATATGTGAATCACACACTCATCATCAACGTTAAATGAAACAGCCTTTCCTGGCTTCACTTCAATACCTGCATGATTCAGATCAATCATTCAAACTCCCATCATAAATCACACTTTACGAATTCCCTTGCATAGCTGGAGATTGAAAATGCAGCCCATAGTGCATTGAGAAAACGTAGAGTTATGCCAAATAACAAATCAGCGCTTGAAAAGCTCCCACAATCTAGCATCAACAATAAGTCAAAAAAAAAAACTTTTCACTACTTGAAATTTGACAACCCACTAAATGATCATCCCATCACCCCACATATAATGGCATAGGAGACCCTTATCAAGTTATCATCAAACTACAAGGCTTTCTACAGGGAAGGAAGGGTGATACTTAACAGTACATCATAAAATTCAGATTATAATACAGACAAGATGGCGAATTTCTCAACCTCGGAACACAAAACCGATGATAAGCCCGTTCCTCGGCACTAGACAAAACAGAGCCTAAAGTGGGATCGCGGAGAAGCTCGTTGACGAGAACACCATCTAAAATCGCACACCCCCCAACACCGTTTGAAGCATTACCAACATCTCATCACGGGAACACGACACGCCCAAAATTCGCACCAAAATAATTGCAAATAAAATCTCCCCGAGAACACAACACAAATATAATCAACCAGAATCTTGGAGAGAGAGAGGGGGGGGATCTTACCCCAGAATTCCATCGCTGCCTCGTTGGGACGACGAATCGGAGGCGCGGCCGCGCGAAACCCTAAGATCGAGGAGGAAGCGGGGACGCGGGGTTTAGGGTTTAAGCAGGGGATGCGAAGCGGACGGCGGGGAAGGTGAGGCGACGAATCTGGGCCGTCGATTCGTTCCGGTAGCCGAGATCTGTGGCCGTTGGTTGGTTGGCTTTCCCGGTTTTGATTTTGGAGGAGGGAAGGGGATCAGGGACACGAAGTGGTGGAGCAGATAAAATTATGAAATTGGGCTTTGTCTGGGCTTAAATTGAGAACGTGGCCTGTTTAGCTGGGATGGTATCCATATTCGGCCCAATTTCACATTTGATCCCCCAGAAAATCACGATTTCCATTTTCTGTTCATATTTACGCAAAGAGTAATCGAGTGATCACTGATCAGATGTCAATTATACATTTGATGATCACCATAACATCACGACTTCCATTTTTCTGCTCACATTCACGCAAAGAGCAATCGAGTGATCAAATGCCAATTATACATTTGATCACCATAAAATCACGATTTCCTTTCTGTTCATATTTATGCAAGAGTAACCGAATGATCAAATGTTTACTGGAGTAGTTTTTATAAGAAAAAAAGTCCGGTATGTTTATGTAATAATAGAACAAGGAAACATGATTTGAAAATGGTCTCTCTTTTTATCCTTGAACAATTGGTTTAACACCTACAGGCTACAGGGGCATGATATTTGCGTGTTTATCGTCAGCAACAACTTTGGGGGCTTATTCAGTTTCTACGCAGATAACATATGGACAAACACACATAACAACTGACACACACCAGAACCAGGTCAGCTGTTCTCCATTCTTTGGGTACCCTCTTATCATAATTCAGAAGGTGAACACTGGAGAAGATGTACAAAGCTGAGTGGTGGCAAGCAACTGGTTGGTCTATTATTCCAACTTCCAAGCAACTGGTTGGCAAGCAATCAGTTGTCGTTCCTTCACACCTCCTGGAGTTGCAAAGTACCTCGCCGCTGAAGCTCATAGAGCAAGAACAGGGCAGCAGAATCCTGTGAGCTCTTCTTATCTGCACGGCCATCTCCTGTGAGGCTGATCACATCAGCATTTGGTATATGCAATGTAATGGTTGAAGCGAAAGCGAACGCTTGGGGGGTAGCTTTCTGAGAGGAACCACCAGGGGAGGAGCACACGCTGCTAAAGCTGAACCATGAAAGATTAGTAAGTTATTTTGCACTGTTGCATAGATAAGTAAATAAACAGGCATTCACAGGCTAGTATGAAATCTTAGTACCTTGGTTGTACTTTCTCAGATTCCATTGTAGGCATTGGCCATTGCAACTTTTTACACAACTCATATAATGCAATGCGTGGTCCTCCTTTACTCGTTTTCACAATCACGTGCACTGAAACAAGATAAAATTGTTGAACTTTATCAAATTGATTCGTTCTACAGACGTGGATATATGAGGTCCTGATATGAATGAAAGCACAGAGATAACAACAAAAACAGAACCACTGGTGATTGAGAACATACATGGTTTACCAAGCAGGGGATCAGAAATGTTCCTTGAATCAGCTGCGTTTTTTTCCTTGGTTGGTTTTGGAGTCTGTGTATCCATTGCATCGACATGCAAATTGTTGAAGGGATTAGTGCTGCCACAATGCTTTTCAAATTGTTCTGTCTTGCTTGCATTCTTTGGGATTATTAGTCCTTTTTCCTGCAAAAACGAATAAACCTGTCAGCTTATATTATCCCCTAAAAGAACATTGCAACATACACTACCAAAATAGTGGAGCACAAAAATAGGACACCTCGAGATCTTTGAGCAGTAAGGAAGATGCATGCGCTTTCGCATCTTTTCTTTTCTTGCTAAAACCTTGCCTCACAAGAAGCACCTCTTTGAGCTGTACATCAAGAGTAGCCACTACTGTGTCTCCTTGATCTCTACAGTTAATTCCTACAAAATACCCATGTTTGCCACACCATTCGATAAGCTCTCTGTATGGAGGTAACTCCAGATTCTCAGGTGTGACAATTGGGGAAAGAAGGGGTTCAAAAATACCCCAGACTACATCCAAATCAAGTTTGGTGTCTAAAAGAATTGCACCTGCAATACTTTCTACAATATCACCAAGGACCTGTATCACAATAGACAAGTGAAATATGATATATTAATATAGATAAATTGTAAAGATGATTGTGTATGTCAATACTGGAAGATGACACTAAAAAGGACACAGGTAATGCAATGCAAATAACTTGTAAAAAGTATATTAAATACATAGCCATGCATTTATAAGATGCTCTAACTTAAAGCAAATGTCATTCATATGAACTGAAATCCTAACGTATTGACTTGATTTTATTCTGATAAGAGCAAACCACACACATGTTAAAACAAAGAAAGAACGTACTTTAGGCCCTTTTGGGAGTCCATCTGATAACAGTTCAACTTTGTCCATGGATGAACCTTCCAACCTATTCACATATTCAGTAATTTGGTCTAACAGAAGCCCAGAAGAATGCTGGAGAAAGTGATGGAAGTTGTGCTTTACTGCAACTTGTGCAAAGTTTTCATTATTGACTGATGCAGAACGTAAGTCTGTCAACTCCCCCTCATTAGTGTCTTTATGACTATTGAAAAGATATCTTGTTAACAGAATGTCTAAGACCGCATCACCGAGGAACTCTAGGCGCTGTTAAAAAAAAAACATTAGAGAAGTTGGGTAAGTTAAGACACAATATGAAGGACCAGCAAAATAGTTTTATGTTCACCCGATACCTCGTAGCAGTATTTTGCACCTAACTCCTGCTGTGATGGGTGAGTCAGAGCCTCTACCAAAAGACCTTTCACCGAGAAAGAATAGCCTAGTTTTGCTTCAAGCATTTCAAATACATTGTCTTTTGGAAGATAAGTCTGCACAGAAGCACTCAATATGGCCTGCACAATCAAGTCTTCTTCAATTTCAGCCCCGATGCCCAACCATTTGAGAACTGCCATGGCTGCTCTTAAACCACCCCCTGCATAATATGCCCCAATAATAGCCTCAACACAATCAGCAATGGTTTTGGAACACATCCATCTGTGTCCCTTGTCACACGCCTTGCCTAGAACAATAGCCTTGTCATCAATGATATGAATATCGTCAGTTACAACCTCAGATTTTACAGGGCATTCACAAGGAGATGGACGAATAGAGAGCTGTCCTGGTGCTAGCCATCGACGAGGATCAAATGCAGCATCACGTACGTAACCCTGTTGATTACATTCCACCAATTGTCAACTTAGCTCAGACAATTAAAGCTCAGTGTGTCCATGAAATACAAAATCTCTAGACACTGCCAAATGATAATGTGAATTTACCTGTACATTGCGTTCAATTCCAAGCTTATAAAGTGTGGCATTACAAATCATATGGCACCTTATGGATGATAGCTGCCCCTCATCCTTATTAGGAAATTTCAGGAAAAGATGACAACTCACTGCATACTTCAATACAGAGTCTCCCAATAATTCTAGACGCTCCATAGAGAAATCCTCAGAGCACCTAAGCGTTGTAATAGCTTCCAGAATCTAAAGAACATGTGCCAATATATCATTTCATATTAAAGAAACAGAAAATGTATGTATAGAAGAGAGAGGTATAAGCATCTATACCAGGAAACTTGATATATTAGAATCGCTGTATCCAATTTCACTTCTTAGTTGACTAGCTAACGTTAATGACTCAATCCGATACATCAAAGCCGGAAACAAATAGAATGATCTCAAAATTTCCACAGGTAAATCAAGGGGAATCAGCAACTCAGGAGGCATGTGGACACGGTTGCTTGTTTTATTTACAACTGGTGTGCCATTACTCATATTCTCCACAACATTACCTAAAAAAAAGCAACAGCAATCATAAATATTAGATCAGCCTATATACGACATAATCAACTTGGCTACAAATTACAAAAATAAAACAGTTTATGCAAAAGTAACCAGTCTAACAAATGGGTTTATCACTAATCATCGAAGTAAAAAAATAGAGATGCTTCAAACTAATCTTGCTTGAAAAAACTAATAAGTAACCAGTTAGGGAAGACAAACACAAGGTAGAACAAAACTAACTATATAGAAGAATAGATACAGACCTTCATCCCTGAACTTCGAGGAAAGAAGGTTGTGAGGATTATGACTAGGCTTCAAAACTAGTAGTGGCTGTGAGGGGTGGCGAAGTACTATGCCATACCTGTAAACGAATATATTAGACAAAAAAAGCAAGATTATACCTGAGCAAGCACATGGACATGCACAAAACTATACACACTTCTTTTTGAAATATTCTGCGAATGTCCGGAATTTACATTCTTTCTTATCAGATGCACCATCAAAAGCGCTATCGCCAGATAATTCAGTAATATCAAGAGCAGTATATATCTTCCCAGTGTGAACTGCTAGAACTACCATATCTTTGAGGCTGTTAGCCTTACACGACTTGTTAGCTAAATGAATTAAATCTCCAACATTTTGGTCAGAATCAAATATTCCAAGTAATTCTCTTTTATTCTCAGAATAAATCCTTCTCATAAGTTTAACTGCCGTAGCTGCCGCATCAATGACACTCCAATTAATACAAACGTTGGAGTCAAAAGAAGGATTTGTTGGTAAAAGCAAATATACACTCGCAGTGTTCCACACAAATGTATCCTCTTTATTAAGAATGAATTCCCTCGGAGCATTAGGTACTTTTGATCTAGTAAACAGCTTTCCAAACAAACCATTGAAGAGAAGCCCTTGAAACAACTTTGCTTGTTCCATCTGAGACAAAAAAAAAGGATAAGGAATTTTTCAGATTAAATGGGAAAAAAACAAAAGTAGGGGACAAACTTCATCATACCTGTTGAGCATCCAACTCAAGAAGTCCACAAGAAGAAACTGAAGTTTTGACCATCTTGTCGTGCAAATATAGGTCAATCTCCAAAGTAGCGACTTCATCCGGTAAAGTTGCATCAATTAACAGAACAAATTCAGAGTAAATCTGACCAGCTTGGTCACAAACAAAATTCATTTTGTAGCTTTGAAGCTTGAGTGCAGTTTTCTTTGACACCCAATTGCCAGACCAAGCATGAATTCTTGTTGTACCATGTAGCTCCTTCCGTTTGGTTGTACCTTCAAGAAGGTAATAGAGAACATTACCATGACATCTATTTCTTTGTAAGAAGTATAATGGAGTTCAGTCCTACAAATAAGCTTGACTACATACGCTGGTTACAAAGAACCAGCCAGCATATGGCATCTTAACTTGGAGTAAATTGCATGGCGAATCCTTAAACTTGTACACAGGACTAATCTAGGTACATATATGTAGAAAATGCAAATCTAGGTCCAAAAGTGCGTAAAGTAGATTATTAACTATACAATCCAGAAGAAATGGCATTTTATGTGTGGCCGTCCCTCTCTCTTCTCCCTTAGATATCTCCCCTAAATTGTTGTACTATTTTGCGGTGGATGTCACAAGTAACAACACAATTCATGGAGATGGAAACTTAATGAGGTGATGATGAAGCATGCAGGTGATGTTCACTCATGCTCCCAGAGATGCAGCTGACCTTAGGTGCAGCATCTAGTTGACAAAAACAGCATTTGTGATGTTGCACTCGTGGCACAGTTTTTTTTGGGAGGGTTGGAGGTTGTGGGGAGGGGCCGGGGGGCACAAGGATGCCAGATCCACCTCAGTGTATCATGTCCACAAGGAATGCTAGTTACCCAGATGGACCTAAAATGACCACCTTAATGTACTTTATGGACTAAAATATGTAGTTTCTAAGTACAGGAACCCAGATGGTGAACAATTAGTTCAAGTTAGAGGACCAGTGATACGATTTACTCCTTATAAAACTTGGCAATCACATACCTATACCAGTACCCTTATTTTTGCTTACAATTTCTGGAACTGGATCTTCAACAGATAGACAAAGGTGGTCATCAAGTGCTCCTAGCTCATGCAACTTCTTACATGCATCAAGGCAAACGAGCTGTTTTGCTTTGTGCATGTTTCTTGCTTTTGGGCCCACCAGAATTTGAAGCACAGCACTTGGTGGTAATGCTAATGTACACACATATCCATCATCATGATGAGTGAACTCAAATGTAGGTTTTGGGGAGTAGCACCTGTAACACAAGCAGAAATGGCAAGAAAGTGAATTGGAGGTCTCCAAACAAAAACGATAACAGACTGAAACCAGGTATTGCAGATCTATTTATAGGTGCAATCTGTGTAGTCATGTAAAAAGAGACAACTGAAAATGAGATCAACATACTTATCCTGCGGAAGCTTCTCACAGTATCGGTAGACAATACTGATGCTTGAATCAGCAGTTACTTTCGCTCCTGTTGTGCCTACATGGTATTCGTTTATTTCTTCATTGGGAACAAAACCAGGCGACAGATTTCCAGACTCTCTGCTTGAAGCAATCTTAACCATTGAAGTCTCACTTCTCACAATTGCAGATATCAAATCATTTTGCTTCACGTTCCCCCTGCATTAGAAGAAATGAATTATGTATCCTTGCATCCTTCTTGTTTGCCATTCCTCTCTGCATTCAGTTAAAAGCACGTGAATAAAAGGTGTAATGGGGTAGCATTAAGGTTATACCGTTCAATCATGAGAATGTACTGAGAGTCTTCCTGGCGTGCTCGTCCACGTGACTGCACATAGCTACGTGTTGTCCTTGGCAAATCAAATCGTATTACACAAGAGCATTCTGGGACATGGATACCCTCTTCAGCAACATCTGTAGTAAATAGTAAGTTCACCTGCATTTTAGAAAGGGAAAACAAGGTTATATCATGAGAACTATGCTTCAGTTTCTCCAAGTGTTGACATATCTTAATTACCTTTCCAGAGCGAAATGAATCCAATGTATCCTTCTGCATTTTGGGTGTCAGAGCATCCACCGAAGATCTCCCTCCAGTAAGAAAAGAAACTGTGAAATGTGCAAGGTGGCCAATTTTCTTAATCATCCGGTCAATGACTCTAGCAGTGATCTTTCGATCAACAAAAATGAGGCATCGAGCATGACGAGAGTTACTGTTAGGAATAGAAATGTGTCACGTCAGTTTAAAGGCACACAATTGAAAAAAATAAACAAGTGGACCTTCCCCAAGAAATAATACCTAAAAGAGTGAAAGATCTGGATGAGTTCATAGAGCTTTGGGGAAATATAGCCCGTCTTTGCTGCTTCAACACATCCACTTTCTGAGTTTAGAAGCATGTCGATACCTGGAAGATAGCAAATAGTTTAGAGAATACACAGAAGGACTGAGCATTTTCATATTGAGAAGAGAGCCAAAAGACTGAAGTACCATCTTCATGCTACACACAGACATCAAATGAAAGGATAGGAATTCATCAAGGAGATGGTACATGATACTTCCTATCAAACAGATTCATCATACTCCATAAGTTCATATAGGGTGTTGCAGTGCTATATATGCTTAGATCCATTGGCTAATGGCATGGCATAACAGTGTAAGGTTGCAAATAAGTTTACAGACATTACCAGTCCATTATTAGTTTATCTACATAGTCATACCTTGTTGGAGGCGTTTGTCAATTAAATGCAAGGCTTCCTCAAAGAACTTCATATGAAGCGCTGAATTTTCTGCAAATAGGCGTGATCCATTTGCATCAGTTTGCTGATCTGTGGCATCAACTACTTCCTTCAGCCAACCTTTCTCCTGGCCCCTTTCAATGCAGATTTTTGTGGCCTAAGAGAATGAATGATAAGTTATTATTTACCCATATTAAGACATGAACTCTGAAGCAAAGTGACGGTAAAAGAACTCTTCAAACATAGAAAGCTAACGTTGCAGTATGAGAGAGAAAAAAGAATTACTAAGAGATGGGATTTTTTTGGTTAAGAAGAAAGTAACCCAAAATTAGGCTGAAAAGGATTTAAATAGGTTGTGAGGCGTGCAAACGCGCTTCGCACCAAGTTAAGCTCAGTTCCTGTAACATAAGTAGCTAGAACAAATGAATATAACAAATACCTCACTTGCACAAATAAGACCAACATCATCAAGGCAGTAGCAAATTTTTGCTATAGATTTAGAAAGGCGTCTCTTTGATTCTTTTGTTATATCATCAGCATCTTTATACATGTCGCTTCGCTTATTCTGCAACTCTGTTATCAATGCATCATACTGCACATACATAAAAGAGTGTGTTCTTAGAAACATTAAAAATGCTGAGCTGCAAACTTTGATGACAAATTTGATCAATATAGAAGAGAAAAAAGAGATATAAAACCTTGGAACATAAAACTCCCAATTCTTCACTCAAATCTTCAAAACAAACTGGTTTCGAGTCATAGTACCTGCACATTTCTTTTGCAGAAGGAACACAAAACTCTATCTCTTCTCTATCTGAAACTGTGTAGATCTGTTACAGATAAAAATTAATGAGAATCAAAGTACGCAGATAACCGTATCACATTTTTAAAAGGGGTCATAGGTGTATCCCAAAATGGCATGGGTAAAACAGATAAATATATATCACCTAAGCTCTCAAAACGAACACAACAGTAAAACAATTTGCATTTGGTTGAAAACCACAATCAGTAAATAATTGGAATTCAGGTATGTATATATCCTTGCACTTCAATAGACAAAGTAGAATAGTGTAGTTATCAGAACTAACATGTCCTGTATAATCTAACCCAGCTTATTCAAATAATATGTGTGGCAAAGCAGGAAACTGAACATACCTTAGCATCTAACAGGTTCTCCAATTCACAGAACTGACCTTCACAATCCAAATGAGAAGAGATACCTGCAAAGAAAACCATGAAAACTCAAATCATCTAATAAGACTAAGTGATGCGAATAAATCAAATCTGCCAGAAATATTGGCATTTATGAACTCTATGGCCAAAGTGAAATTGGAGATTATGCGCACGATCATTATTCCTGGATATTTCTCTTAGATGGCAGGTCAGAATTAACACATGTCCTAAATGCCACTGTTTACAAGAAATTTATTGCTGATCTTTTCTGACTTATAAGTCTCTTAACATCCCATTCCTCCCCCCACCCACACCCACACAAAAGAAAAGAAGAAGAAGCATTCTATAGCTCTTGCAGATAACTGAATACTTGCCTTTTCTTATAACAGGTGATGCTGTCATACCAAACACACTTGGCTTATGTTCTGATTTGTGATAGAACTCCTGAGATAGTGATGAGTTATAACATATGACAAACACAAAAAAGAAAAACCTAAATGCTAATGTCAAAAAAAAAAAAACATGATAAGATGGTATTTCACAATACCTTCATTATTCTTGTATAAGGGTGGTTTCCAGTTGCATGATGGCATTCATCAAATATCATGAGACTAACCATGTCCAAGATTAAGAAAGCATTGCGTAAAGCTTGTAGGAACACCTGTGGTGTCATGACCATGACCTGCAATTTTATTATTATAAGTGTTGAAAGCATCAACAAGTAGATAGAACAGGGGAAAAACATCTATGGGATATTCTTAACAAAAGATGTTGAGTAAATTTCACAAAACTATGGATACTTCGATCAAACTGTCACAAAACTACAGAGTTTAGGTGTTATATCACAAAACTACAGATTTAGCATGGAATTTCTCATAGAACTACAGATTTAAGATAGAGTATCACAAAGATAAAGATTAAGTAGCAAATTTACCACAAAACTACAGGTTTAGTGCCAATTTTAAGCACAAAACTACAATGTTTATAGCTCTAACGTAACGGTAGTGCTATAGATTTATACTCTAGAATATGTTGTTTTGTGATAACTTTAGTATTAAATCTGTAGTTCTCTAATACTTGGCCTTAAATCTGTAGTTTTGCGATAATTTGGTTAAAAATCTGTAGTTTCGTGAAATTTACTCTATAATATAGTGAACAGAAGACTGCAGATCATAAGTGCTGCTAGCATGGAATGAGTATTTTCTTTAGCACATATGATGAATCAGTGAGCCTTTAAAACAACAACAAATAAATGCTTGCCTGGTATTTTGAGATTTGCTCTTGCCATCTAGGACCTGTCCATTGATCAACCCCCTTTGCACCATAGTATTGTTCTACCTCAAAATCTGTGTGGATTTCAATCACCTCGCATTGCTGTGGCAAAAAATAATGTTAGTATAAATTACATTACAGTTAGGATAAAACGAACAGTCTACAGACTGGTATAACCTGTGTAACAAGTTGAACTGTTGGTGCAAGAAATATGATGACTTTTCCAGCATTCTTTGTTCTGTTTATCTTTCCGAACTCCTTGATAAGCATCACAGCAATCATTGTCTTCCCGGCTCCTGTGTCAAGCATCGCAATCGTGTTTCTCCGCATTGCAACCTCATAGACATCAAGCTGATATCTGACCAATTTCAGCATCACAAAGCAATGTCACAGGATTGCACTCTTTTTCTGATTATATAATATAGTAACTGTGAAAAGGAGAACTCCGCAGAACCTTCTGGGAGTGAAATCTTGACACTCTCTCTTCTGCAGTTTCTGTTTGCCTGCTTCATGTTCCTGAGAAGATGATTCCAATGACCTCTTTAAAGGGTTCATGTTTACTGCCATTCCAACAGAGAAATTTACAAAGTGAGGTCATGACAATTCACCATTGAGAATATTCACACCCAAATAGAACGGAATTAGTAATCCTCGAAGCAGTGGCGGATCTAACATGGGACATGGGGTTCAGTTAAACCCCCAAACTTTTTGGGAACCATTGAACTGTTATTAGTACTATTTTCTAAGGTTAAGTCAGTTTCTAGAACAGAAGCTAGGATTAACGCAAATCCGAGAAAAAGTGCGTGGGTAGAAAGAGGATGTGCGTAACGGAAGCGGCGGAAGCAGCAGTACGAACGACGGCGACCCAGCTCGCTCGCGCGCGCGATGGATGGGGATCGACGCAGGCGGCGGTGGCGGAGGAGGTGCTCACCAGGATGCGGCGGATGCAGCAGGACGAACGACGGCGCCCTGCTCGCTCGCGGGATGGATGGGGATCGGCGGCGGCGGCGGCGGCGCCGCGGCGGGCAAACTGACGAGGAGGGGTCAGGGTAACTCACGGACGACAGAGGCCACTACGTCAAAATGGCGAGGGTAATTTCCTAATTGAGCCGAGCACTCAATTCACCGGGATTCTCCCGGGATTGCACATCTCATCCCATCCCCAACCTACCCAAACGGTGAAAATCTTTCCAAACGGAGCCCTTGGGACTGGACCTTTTTAAGATTTTTATTTTAATATTTTATAGGATTGAGATTGTTAGATAAATATTAAGGGCTTCTTTGGATCGCAGGAATGAGAAAACATAGGAATAGGAAAAACGCAGGATTTTGATAGGAATGTAAGTGTAAAACAGAGGATTGCAAAACACAGGAAAAACACAGGAATGGTTGTTTGATTGGACCGCAGGAAAAACGCAAGAATTATAGGAGAGATAAAGACTCAAACGAAAGTTTCCAAGAGGTTTTACCTCATGTTAGAATTCCTCCAAAACTTGCATAGCATTACGCAATCCATAGGAATTTCATAGGATTACATAAAATCCATTCATTTGATTCAAAGGGCTATATAGGAAAAATTCCTATAGTAATGAAATCCTCTAAAATTCCTATGAATTTCCTTTGAATCAAAGGGGGTCTAAGTACATCTGAGCATTATCGGATTAAGCACGGCTCACCACACAGGCGTGTCGTGTCAGCCCATATGTTGAGGCTGAAGCCCAGGTATGGTCTAGTGAGATGTCAGGTCGTGTTGTGTTGACCTTGCACGACTAGGGGGCGTAGCCTGTGTGGAGACCCGTTAACCTAAATTTGATATATACCAAGGAAAATATGCTAATAGAATCCATTCGATCCTCCTACACAAACTCCAGCAAAGCTCCGGTGAGGTTCTCCGCTCCGATAGCACATTCCTTTTCCTCCTCGCCAAGCACCGTCGTGGCCCTTCACTTCTTACTTCCTTCACCTGAGCCGATAAGCCCCCAAGGACCAACATACTTAGTGGATGTGCTTGTGAATGGGGTTAATTGCACCACCACCTACTAACATCGTTGACATGCATACCTTCGGGCGGAGCTTAAAAATACATTCTACATAAAAGTTGTTTATATAACTTATCCAAATTCATTTTTTAACATTTTAATATCTAATTAATTAATTCGTTTGTGTTGTAACATAGACGGATATACCCCCTCAACCCCAATCTACAATGAACGGGTTGTCATGATACCACCAACCAAATCCTGACGAGCTGTCGATAACCTATTGTCTCTTCATTGCAATTTGCAAGCTGTAGATGCTTAGGGGCAAATTTACTACATGACACCAAAATTTTATGTAATTTACTGACAGACATCGAAAAAACGTGTTACGGCTGATGACATTAAAAAAACTAGTAATTTCCTAGATAACATTTTCAGCTCAATTGGAGAGATGAATTCTTAAAAAAAAGATAAGAACGCCTCTATGGTCACATGCTTCAAACATGGTGTTAGAGTAAACTTTTAGAAATTATGCAACTCAAAATTTGCCATAGCCCAAAGTGGCAAAGTACATCACTAGCATACATCATATTTCATTTTCACTCTAGTCTCGGCTAAAAAAACGTTTGACCGGGTCATTGTCTTATTTTTAAATAATTTATCTATTCAATTGAGCTGAAAATGTCATCCAACAAATTACCAATTTTAGAGCGTCTTTCACTCGTGTCACTTTTTTAGGATGTCTATCATCAAATTACACAAAAGTTGGGTGTCCTATAGCAAATTTTGCCATGTCACATCGACATCATCCCGGCACGTAAATCGAAACATGTGTTAACACATAATTAATTAAGTATTATCTAAAATTTCAGAAAAAGATCAATATGATTTTTAAATAATTTTCCTATTATTTATTAAGAAAAACATAACATTTAGTAGTTTGAAAAACGTGCGTACGAAAATGAGGGGTTTGAAGTTGGGAACAATGACTTAAGAACACAGCAGCACCTCGAAACGACCACTCGGCGCTACTACGATACAAGCAGCCGCCCCCCGCCGGCCGCGGCCGGCCGAATGGCCGACCCGACCGTCTCACCCTGCACGCTGTCGTCCCTCTCCCTCTCATTGTTCCATTCATCTCCACACCAAAAAGGCAAAACCACCTTCTGATCAGCCAAACTCACGTTAGAACATCTCAAAAACACCAACCGGCCGGATACGTACGTGAAAGGATCGATCAAGAGGTTTGGTTGCCATGGAGGTGGAGGGGGCGCCGGACCTGGCCGACTTCATGAACGACTGGTTCTTCGGCACCGTCGGCACACGGCGCAGCGGCGGCGGTGCGTACGACTTGACCGGCGATCAGAGCAGCGGCAAGAGGCCTTCGGCGCCGGCGGAGAAGAAGCAGCAGCAGCAGCAGGGGAGGAGCGGCGGCGGCGGCGGTGGTAGCGCGAGCAAGCAGACGCAGGAGTGGTTGGAGGAGGCGAGGAGGATGGTCGGGGCCGGGTCGCCGGGGAGGAAGGGCGTCGGCTCGCCGTCCAGGCAGGTGCCCAGGTTCGCCGCCGCCGCCGCCGCCGGGACGGAGCCCTCGCCGTCGCTCGACCGCCGCGACCCGATGTCACGCTCCGCCCGAAGGTACGCATGTCAGTGATGTCACTACGTCGTCGTCCGTGCACGTGCGCGCGCACAGGCGAGCTGTATTAGCGGCCCAATCGTCAGATGGGCCAGTGGCCCAACAAAGCTATATTAGCGGCCCAGTTGCAAACCACATTTTTTTGGTTTGCCGCCCATGGCGGCCCCGCGCCGCCGCCGCCGGCATCCCGCTGCCGCCGCTCACTGCCGGTGGCGCCGTGGCGATTTCCTTCTACTATGTATTCGCTTACTAGTCTCTCTTCCTCCGGCGAGCTTGCAGGCACCGGCAGCCGGGAGGCATCGGCGACGAGATTCTGCAGCGCGCGTCCATCTCCTCCTCGCCTCCGCGCGCCGACCCGTTCGCCTCCGCGCCGGCTTCCCCCGCCCACTCCCTGCCCCCAAACCCGCCGTCTTCCCGCCGCAAGTCCCGCTTCCACTACCCCTCCGCCCCTGACGCCTTCTCCTCCTCCTCCGCCTACCGCCGCGCCGCATCCTCCGCCTCCACCTCGCCCACCTCCGCCGCAAAGCCTCACCACCGCCGCCACGCCTCCGCCTCCTCCTCCTCCTCCCCCGCCGCCGTCGACGTGTTCGACGATGGCGTCGCGCGCCTCAACTCCTTCCTCCGCCGCCAGCGCGCCGCCGTCGCTGAGCTCGGCTCCGGCGGCCGCCCATCCTCGAGGTCCACGAAGATCGTCCTCTCCGACGCCTCCAAAAGTAAGGATTACCACCAAATCCATCCCCAATTGCTCCAATTGAATCTACCCCACCACACGCTCACTTGCGATTTCCTGTTCTATCTCCCCGCAGGTGTCAGCTCAATCGCGGCGGCGATATGCTACGCGTGGATGCTGGCGAGCAAGGAGGACGCCGAGGCGGCGGTGCCGGTGGTGAACATGCGCCGCGGCAGGATGGAGAGGTGCAGGCAAGCGGCCTGGCTGCTCCACCACGTCGGCGTCGACGCCTCTGCTCTGCTCTTCGCTGACGAGGTACTACACGATAGTGATTTGCGTGAGCTTTCAGGCCGTTTAGCTTAGCGTGGGGGTTGGATTCGTCTCCGACAAATCGGACAACTGTCTAGGCCCCGGAGTTATTGGGCGTTTATTCTGGGCAGAGGCGACAAGGATGGGCAATATACAGCAATCACATTGCAGTCGTGTCATGTGGGTGTTCCGGTTTTTGATTGGCACCATGTGGCTGTGATTTGGGGTTTTGTGGTTGATAGGCTTCTTGCAATTGTAGCTTCATGTGCTGATATGGGCATATAAAGGGAAAGCAATTCTAGCAACAATAAGCAACATAATTTTGAAATTTGATGCATTTAACATCTGCGTAAGATCAATTTGACATGGGCATCTGTAATAGCACCTAGTAAATCTTATTGATGGCCTATTTCCTTCAAACTGTTTCCAGTTTTATGGGCATATAACATGTCAGGTTCTCCACTTTGAAAGGAACAATCAAGATGCAAGCACACCATTCATTTCCTTCAAACTATCTCCTGTTTTATGGTCATATAACACATATGTTTCTCCAATTTGAAAGGAACAACCGTGATCAAGCACGCTGTGAGTAATGGTAAAATGTTTATGATACTGATTTTCATAATCCGACTTAGGTTGACATGGAGGGGCTAATGATGGATAAGCGAGTCAGCTTGGTAGTGGTGGGGCAGGATGTTCTGAAACCAAACGATAAGGTAATGTTATGTACTTGTACAGTTGTACTGGTACTTCTCAAGACTCTTGCCGAGGTTAATGTATATGATTCCAGCTTTTACTTAATAAGCATGCTCGATTTTGTCCCCTAGATGGGCTCAGTTTGCACAATCCTCACCAATAATTATTGTGAAGATGCTTATAGTCTACTTCAGAGCCTGGACATAAAGAAACTTCTGGTTAGTGCATTTGCTATACATAAAAGAGACTGTTATGCATAATTTAGTGGAATGTTCTGACCATGTTTTCTGGGTTCCCCCTCAGCTTGCAGGTATCCTGTTAGATACGAAAAATCTTTCCAACATGTGCTCAAACAGAGATTCAGAGGCAGTGCAACTGCTCTTGTTTGGTACCTCTGAGCATATGAGGCACGAATTGTTTCAACAATGTAATATAGTAGTCTTCTTCATTCATACTATATTTATTTATGAGTATAGAATCAAGAAGTAGCAAAAATATGTAGTAATTTCCATTCGTAACTTGCTTTTGCTGTTCTCTTGTTCAGTGCTTCTTGATCACAATGATCATTCTTTTGTCGAGTACTTGAAGAACAACTACAGAGAGCCGTCCACAAAAGGTGAGCTTTTATTCATACTATATTTAAATAGATTCTGAAATCCTTCTGTACAATTTTATTAACTGGATGTATGTACATTTATGTTAAAGACAAATTTCACTGTTTGTCCCAATTCTTCTTAAAAATTTAAACAGCGTTGGTATGCAACAGCTCATGCTATTAGGGCAAAATATTCTTGTAGTAACTTCAATACCCATTTCACTTCTTACAACCTTCATGACTAGGATGAAATATCTGATAGCTCCTCCTGCTGGGTTATATTCTATCACTAAGATAGCTTTGATTCAAGTATAATGCTGACTTACTGTCATCGTCGTATATGTCCCTTTATTTTTACTTAACACGTGTTGCCTGTTTCTTGTTATTCCTGACATAATTCCATTCTGTTGTTCATATTAGGTGAAGGGAACAGTCCCCTGGACCAGAAACATTCAGTTTCAGCATCAGGGTCATCCCAAGATGCTAAGAAGCCCAATTCAAGTAATTTTTTCTAGCGCCTCCAGTATTATTTGACAAGTAGATTGTCTGTAAATAGTTGAGCAATTCACAGTTAATGATGAGGTCACACTTTGCTGGTTTGACCATGACTTAAGAAAGGAAAATACAAGCGATGGCTTCGGCGTGATTATATCAAATATTGAACCCTGGGGATTTTACATCTAATATACCACTAAGACTAAGCGAAATTCCAAAGTCAATTCATAGCCAATGCAACTTTAGGCAGCCCTCCCGCACACCTTTTTTTAAAAAATAATAATGCAAATTTCTTAAAAGAAAAAAAACATTCAACTTTGGTATGTGGTATACTCTTGCTAATTTGGTGGCAACTGTTTTGCATTGCAGATAATCAGAGACCGGTGCACGGGAATGGTGGAAAGACCTCAGATGAAACTCCCCGTGGGAAGAACAAATATTTCTTAGCAAAATGGTTTGGTTTTGGATCAAAATAGCATGTTTTGACTTATACTAATTCATATCAAAATAGCATGCTTTCACTTCTATTAATTCGACTATTCATTTGATTTACATGTTGAGAATTCATGATTTGTCACAATGTTGAGGAAGTATAATTTTAGATAACTTATTTATTGTCCTCATTATATATTATTGTGAAAAGAGCACTATATATGAAAACTATTGGAACTAGCAATTTTGGTCAAATTAATATATTTTCCATGGTTACATATTTTAATTTTTACTACCAGAAAATAGTTTTTCCATGGTCAAACTATTGGGAAAGAGCACTTCCTTTATTGTATTTTTGGGATTCTGAGAAGAGCACTTCCTTGGTATATTTCTGGCATTCCTATTTTCAATCCGGATGTCAACTAATGAGGACATGATGATTAAAAAAACATCAGGAACAGAACTTTATGAACTCAGTTGTCTTCCAGGATTCTGTTTTCTTTTTCCTGCATCCTGTATGACATATGCTAACTCATTTCTTCCAGCTTTTTTCAATTACTTGTAATGTTTAATCATTATATGATTGAAATCTTAACTGGAATTGTGGTGGTACCAAAGCTACATGGTCCAAATGTGTTACCGAAAACCATGATGAAAAGTATGCACTCCTTGACTAGTTGCCTTTAACAAAAGTACATCTGAATTATACAAGTGTTGTACTATCAGGGGTTTGCACCCCAATCTACTCTTCCTTTACTTGAGGATAGGAGAAGAAACTAGGGTCAAAGTAAATGAGTAATAGAAAAATGAGAGAGGAGGAGCAGAGCATAGTACTAGATAGGAGGGACCAGCCACCAGCCATTAGCTGGAGTTTCTCTGGATAAATAAGCATGAATGCATGATTGGGAAAGGCAGTGCCATTGTGAATCCTACCTGTCACCACCCCCTATGTTTCTCTATCAGGACCAGCCTGTTCCTACTCCCAGGACTATCCTGTGCGTGCCCCTCTAATGCAATCTTCCATGTGCCCAACACCCTCTCCATGGGAGAGGAAATACAAAATGGCATCAATAATTTCTTCCCTCTTCTTCTTCTTCTATCTTCCAATCCATTACATGATCTGAATTACCAGTTCATAGCATGGTTAAAAAAAAAAAAACGTCCGCCCGTATCGCAGTAACAAAGTGTGTAGGCTCATTCAACCTTCCATGCGTACAGAAACAGGCAGAAATCTGAATATTCATCGGTGCTGAATTCAGAGCTCGCTCCCGGCGGCGACGGCGACGGCGGCTCGGGCTTGAAGATGAACAAGGCATGCCTCATCCCTGTGCCGAAGAGCCAGTCATGGGCGTCCCAGTACACCTGCACCTTGAGCTTGTTGATGGAGATGCACTCGTTGCCTCTGAACTTCCACTGGAGGTGCCTGACGAGGACGCTGACGCAGCCGTCGATCTTGATCGCCATGTCGACGTCCGTGCCGCCGGTGAGGTTGCTGCTGCTGCACTCGATGCTGATGTCGTGCAGCTTCCCCCTGTCGCTGAACCTGGCCTTGGTCACGAACCTCTTCTTGCTGAAGACGTGCTCCTTCTTGCACACCAGCACCGCGTCCTGCAGCGACGGCCGTGACCCCGTCCGCCGGAACGCGTCCTTCTTGAGGTTGCCGAGGAGGAGGACGACCTCCTCGCCGGCGACCACCGCGACGTAGTAGTCGGACAGCGGCTCCGGCTCATCGGAGAACCTCGCGCTCCTCAGGTCCCACACCACGTCGATGGCGTTGCCGTCCACCTGGAACTGCTTCGCCCCGTACTTCCGCCAGAAGTGCCACGGCTGCATCTCCACCTTGCACGCGCTGCAGCTCTTGCCGCCGCCGCCGCCGCCACCGCCGTCCGCCGCCGTGGCGGCGACGGCGGCCTCGCCGTACTCCCTGCCGATCTTGTCCTTGCCGTTGCCCGCCGACCCTTCGATCGACACCGACAGGCCGTGCGTGAGCAGGTTCCTGCACCACGTCACGGTGACAAGCCGGCGGTGGCCGGAGATCTCCGCCCGGTAGACCAGCGTCACCGCGCTCTGCCTGGCCGCCGCGGCCGCCGCCGCCGTGCCGGAGCTCGGGATGTCCGGCAGCTTCTCGCCGGAGGAGAAGCAGGACGGCACCGAGAACAGGTCCTGCATCATGTACTACTGTTTGTGTACGATGATGAGACGAGAGATAGGACTAGGAGAGGCTATACATAGGCGCCATGGAGAGGCATGGAGCCATGCAGAGATATGGAGTTGGGCAAGAAGAAGAAGACGATGATGATGAGTAGGAGGAGGAGACCATGAGTTAGCAAACCGAGCTGGAAAGGAAGGAGGCCAAGAAAGTGAGCTGTACATGAAAGTGAGTGGAGGAAGCCCTCATGGGGTGTTTAAAAACTGGAGGAACCTTCTCTGCCTGCTTGGAATAAATGCTCTATCTTTCATGGACCAATCTTGATTTCTCTGCAGTACATCATGCTCCTGTTTTTCTACTCCCAACTCTCACCATGGGGCATCTCTCAAGATTAAAAAAAAAAAAAGAGATCGAAAAACTCACTATTGGGAGGAGGAGGCAGGCACAGGCCAATGGCTTTGAGGTATGAGAATTGCTGCATTGTCGAATCTTGCACCCTTCCCTCCTAACTGTATGTTTCTCCCATGCATTGGACTTGGGATCCTTGGTGGCTCAGGTCTCAGATATTGCAAGCAGGTGCATGTGGGTAACATGCTGAAGATAGCATGACATGTGGTGGAGGGGAGGCACTGGATTTCTTATGGCTTAGGGAGTATAACTGTATTGTGCTGAACACTCTGCAGGCAAGGGAATGTAGGGGATTAATCTGTGGAGTTTGTTGACCAACTTTAAGCTGGATTAATTCAGTCTGCAAAAGGTACTTAACTAAGACTCTGGAATAACTGCTTAGCAAATCATTTGCCACATGACACAACGAATCTCAGTCTTCAGGCAGTAGCAGGATCTTTCTGTTTACTGGATTCCTTCAGGTGGATCAGACGTTGAACTCACTGTGGAGTGTGGACTGTGGTTTGCAGGGGGCTTGAATGGATACATAAGTGGATGGAATAAAGTTTATGGATGAAATGCACACTGCAGCTAATGGCAGAATCTGGCCATTTTGTGTGTGGAACCACAGGAAAGTGAGGCTGTGTCCTAGTTAAGCCAAAAGAGTGGTCAATGGACACAAGTGACTTTTGGATAAGAGCTCTGATTTTCCTGAAAGGCAGGGGCTTTAGCTTGATAAATACTATACCCTACCTGCAAAATCTTAAAAAGAAGATAAGAGGCTGTGGATAAACTTGTGAACTTTTCTGTCGTTATCAGAAGCCATCAGGATCTATCTGATTGGTCGACTGATTGTTGATAGGAGGCTGGCTCCCTTGGAGGAGCTTTGCCTAGCTTTACAAAGCTTTTGGGAACGGTGATGGATGCAGTGTGAGTTGATCCATCATCCATGTGGACTTGATCAACGGATTTGGTGGCAAATGGCAAGTGACAGCAGATTCAGAGTTCCTGAAAACCTTCCGTGTTGGACTGGACCAGTGATTGTTAGTACTAGTTTATCCGATTTAGGCATTGAAATCCAAGGTAGAAAAGGGAAGAAAGTTTCAGCATGTGTTGAACTGGGAACCTAAATGAACAAGGAAAGAAGGGCTCAAGAGTTGTCTAGTCAAGAAGTTGGTAAATGCAAGCTATACTAGTACTTGCAGAGATCAGAGAGGTTGACTAGCGTATAATCCTATCCCGTGGACATCGCATCACTAAAAAAATATAGCGAAGTCGCTCTGGAATATAGAAGAAAAGTGTAGAACATGTACATTTGGCAGCCAAATTTATCAGAATGCATCGGTAAAAAGAACTGTAGCATCGTATTTTTTCAACGTTTAATCATCCAATCAATATATGTTTAACCGTAACAGTAGTTAATTTAAATTAAGAACATAGACAGTTATTTGCCATCTGCTGCAGGTTTTTTTTTCGCCGGGATCCTGCAGGGATTTTCACATTGGAAATACTATCCTGCCCCATTGTTATCAAGGTTCATTCCGAAATCGTTAGTGTACAAGTCTACAAGATAACTCCCATAAGCATTCAGGCCCTATTATCCAACTCAACGGATCGGAGTCCCTGGAGCTGACCAATGAGTAACGCAAGCCACCGATCAGAAGTGCAACGCTGAGGCACATACCTATGTCCGTGTTCCATCCCCAGAACAATGAAACCGTTCAGCACTCATTCATAAAGAAAATGTGTTCCATCCCCAGAACAATGAAACCGTTCAGCACTCATTCATAAAGAAACTGTGGTATCTACGTTCCAGAATCTTTTCACATAAAGTGTTCCAAAATTATGTTGAAGAGACCATCGTCTCGAATCCTAATATTGTTTCAGATGAGGCTAGGAAATAGCTGCTTCAAAAATATTCTCTCTCTCTCCCGGCGAAAAAAAAAAATTCAGTTACCTATGACTAACAATCTAACACAGACTAGTGTTATCTCGTATCAATTGGTTGCAGGGTGTTTCGCCTTTGAATGATCCTTCAGAGCACCAGAGGAGTTGAAAGTCCTGAGCAAGTTAGCAAGTGCCTATGTGAGGATATAGCAATATTTCAATGGTAAATCATTAAGTAAAAGGAACAATAATTTACTTTTTGCATGAGTTGCAGACATAGCTAGCAGAACGCTTAGGCGTGTCGTTCTTTATGGGCGTCCTCTTTGCCTGTTTTGCTGGGTGAGGGTTTGTAACTTGAAGATGACTACCTCTCTTGCTAGTATTAGTACCTGCACACAAGATCAACAAGAAGTATGAATTTGCAATCTTCATGACGAAAAAATTGTGAGTTCAACAAAAACAAATCAAAAGAAACAAATTCCAACCAGTTTTGTTGTCCGTAATTGGTGCTTCTATCTTTGCCATCTCATGTGGAAATGTCTTCAAGGGTGTTACCACTGGTTCATTTTCCTCTTTAGTATTCTGGGAGATCAAGGAAACAACAACAACAAAAAAGTTACAAGGTTTCTGAGAAATTAAGCATCAGAAACTATCATCCACTTAAGTATCTCATACTGTTGGTGTAATATGCAACTTTATGAGGGACCTACTTGTAATTCTGTTGAATAAAGATATGTATGTGTGGGGGTGCTGATCGGTGGTGAGGCCAACAAGCTCATTCCACCCCTCTCTCAGGCGTTAGGCAGCAGCAGCAGGAAGGCGGGAGAAGGTAGCAGCAGGAGCAGCACCGGCGTGCGGGGCAGCAGCAGCGCCGCCGCGCCACTCGGCGCGCTGGTAGCAGCCCCGCTGCGCGCACGCGAGGCCCTCAGGTTCGTGGGCTTCCTGGAGGAGAGGAGCTCTGTGTGCGCAAGCTAGGAGGAAGAAAAGACGGTACTGTTTTGGGAGTTGGATTTGGGACTGATTTGTGAGCTTGTTGTGGGAAAGAGAGCAAGTTTATTTCTGTTTCTTTGTTGACAGGTGCGGGAAGAAGCCTGGTCCAGTTATGTGATTTGGGTTGCTAAGAGCACAAGCGAGGATATGTTCCCGTTCTTTGCTTGCTGAAAACTTGATGGAATAAGAGTTGCCGTGATTGTGGTGAACACGGGCAGCAAGGAGTGTTAGTTGGCATCGCTCTAGGAGATGGATCCATTGAAAGGGGTTGAGGAATCATCGCTGGTCACTAAAGGCGAGATGAAAAGCCTACTACAAGACTTGATAGCTACTGGGATGATGGGGCCTAGAATAGGAGGGGCATCACCTGAAATAAAGCTAGAGCAAATGCCGAATGAAGTTAAGTTGGAGGAGAGCCAAAATTACTTGAGCTGGTCTAGAAGGACAAGATTGATGTTGAGGGCAAAAGGGGTAGAACACTATTTGGAGGAAACTTGTATTGAACCAGATGACAAGCTTAGTGTGGACTGGAAGGTGTGGAATTCCACCAACTCTACGGTGGCAACATGGTTAATGACCTCAGTGGCTCCATCCATTGCGAGGATGGTGGAGACAATTTCTAATGCATCAACTGTGTGGAAGACATTGAGCAAAATGTACTCAGGGGAAGACAATGCAATGATGATGGTTGAGGCTCAAGACAAGGTGGAGAACTTGAAGCAAGAGGGAAGAACTGTTCAAGAATATGCTAGTGAGTTGCAACAATTATGGGCAGATTTGGATCACTATGAGAGGGGGACTGGGAGGAGGATTGGGACTGGAGTCAGGCGCAATGGGTTGTGGTACATCAATAATGAAGAAGTAGGATTGGCTGCAGTTGCAGGAAATGCTGAGGAGATTATTTTGCTTCATTGCCGGTTAGGACATCCATCATTTGATAACGTAAGTAAGCTATATCCAATTCTCTTTAATGGAGTGAACAAAAGTAGACTTGTCTGTGACGCTTGCGAATTTGGCAAACATACACGGACCCCATATGTTGGGAGTGGCCTCCGTAGTTATGAACCCTTTATATTAATACATTATGATGTTTGGGGACCATGGCCAGTTACTTTAGTGAGTGGATTTAAGTGGTTTGTTTCCTTCATTGATTGTTACACTCGAATGACTTGGATTTATGTACTTAAGCACAAGAATGATGTTCTTCGATGCTTCCAAGATTTTCATAAATTCAAATCAGTTTGATGCAAATGTTCGAATCATTCGAACTGATAATGGGACTGAGTATATCAACAACGAATTTGTCTCTTATGTCTTGGATCAAGGGATCATACATCAAACCACTTGTCCTGGAACCCCTCCTCAAAATGGTGTAGCTGAGAGGAAGAACCGACATTTGTTGGAGGTGGCACGTTCACTTATGTTTCAGATGAATGTACCCAAATACTTGTGGAAGTGATGACTGCTGCATATCTTATTAATCGCATATCTTGTGGAGATGACAAGGAAGAATGATGGGGACCAAATTAGGGAATTTGCACGGGAGCAAGTTGAAGAGTCTGAACAACCTGAGCATCCAGTCCAAGAATCCTCCCCGTGCCTCTCTCCTCCAACTCCCTTGCCCCTCATTGAAACGTCTGGTGATGTTCCCCCTATACTTGAACAAGTAGAATTACCTCTTACACAACGTAGGGAAACTAGAAGTAATGCTGGGAAACCTCCTATACGTCTTGGCTTTGAACATATTAGCTCTAAGCATGACATTGCAAATTATATCTCATACTCCCACATTTCACCTGCATACAAAACTTTCATTGCATCATTACAAGCAGTGCCTGTTCCGAAAGACTGGAGATGTGCCAAGCAAGATCCTAGGTGGAAAGATGCAATGAAGGAGGAGCTTCATGCCCTTCAGGAGAACAAGACATGGGAACTTGTGAGACTTCCACCAGGAAAAAGAGCAGTAAGATGTAAGTGAGTATTTACAGTAAAGCAAACTCCTGAAGGGAAGGTGGATAGATACAAAGCAAGATCAATTGCAAAAGGTTATAGTCAAACTTATGGGATTGACTATGATGAAACATTTGCTCCTGTGGCCAAGATGGGTATAGTGAGAGCTTTGGTGTCTTCTGCAGTTAACTTTGGATGGCCTCTACATCAGCTGGATGTGAAAAATGCTTTCCTTTATGGTGATCTACAAGAGGTCTATATGGAGATTCCCCTTGGATTTGGAAATAACCAAACGGTAGGAAAGGTATGTAAACTCAAGAGATCATTATATGGTTTGAAGCAGTCTCACGTGCATGGTTTGATAGATTTAGGCGTGCACTATGTGAGATGGGATATTCCCAATGCAATGGAGATCACACGGTTTTTTATACACATAAGGGTTCATGTATTACCATCTTGGCAGTGTATGCTGATGATATAGTGATCACCGGTGATGATGGGGGAAGAAATTAGGTGCTTGAAGGAAATGTTTGGAAAGACCTTTGAGGTGAAGGATCTTGGACCTCTTCGATACTTCCTTGGGATTGAGATTGCTCGGTCGTCAAAGGGAATCGTTCTCTCCCAAGGGAAATATATCCTTGATCTATTGGCAGAAACATGAATGCTTGGATGTCGTTCAAGTGCTACACCAATTGATAAAAATCATCAACTATGTGCTCAGACAGGTGATCCAGTTGACAAGGAGGCTTGTAGGACGCTTGATATATCTGTGCCATACAAGACCTGATATCTCTTATGTAGTGAGTGTGGTAAATAGATATATGCATGATCCTAGGTCTGGTCTTTTGGAGGCAGCTCATAGAATCCTAAGATACTTGAAGGGATGGCACTATGGTGCTCCATTGTGATAATAAATCAGTTATCAGCATTGCAAACAATCCGGTTCAGCATGATCACATAAAGCATATCGAAATTGATAGGTTGTTCATCAAAGAGAAAATTGATAGTGGAGTGCTTAGCCTAGAGTATACTAAATCTTGTGAACAACTAGCTGATTGTCTAACAAAGGGATTAGGCCCAAGTGAATGAGTTATTTTGTAACAAGATGGGCATGATCGATATCTTTTGCCCATCTTGAGGGGGAGTGTTGGTGTAATATGCAACTTTATCAGGGACCTGCTTGTAATTCTGTTAAATAAATATATGCATGTGTGGGGGTACTGGTCAGTGGTGAGGCCAATCATTCCCCAATTCCCAAATCAATCTACACATACCTTTGCAGGAGTCTCTTCTTCATCAGAACTCTCACCTTCCTTTGCAGGAGTCTCTTTTTCATCAGTACTCTCACCTTCCTTTGCAGTAGTCTCTTCTTCATCAGAACTCTTACCTTCATAATCAGCATCATCACTTGAATCCTATTTGTCAATCATATCATACAAATGTATCGCAGGATTATAATATATCCAACACAATTCATGACTGCTCATTTTTAATAATGTCACTGTTACGTACCTCATTACCAGTAGATTCACCAACTACTGAAATATCACGGTATCGTTCATTGTTGTCATCATCAGCTTTTGATTTCTCATAGTGCTCTATTTCCTTTACAAAAGCCTTTTGCATGGCGGATGCAACTGTAGCAGACTTTGCAGGAAGTTTACTTTTCTGTGCTTCTTTGATCATATTATCTGAAAGTTTAACATAAAAAAATATATCATTCGAAGATTCGCTTACCGGCTCACATTAGCATGTCTAGCAGATTCTATCATAAAATGTAACATGGACGAAGCACTTCAAACTACACAAGCATACTGATGTGACCATGGTTACCATAGATACAACCATAGTTCACATCATAGCTCAACTAGAAGACATCGCCGTAGAAGTTCTAAAATCCAATTCGGTCACCTGCAACAGTGCTGATTTCAAATGGCCGCCAAATGTGCATACAAGCTCCGTTTTTGGCCCATGAGTACTTGATGGAAAGCTCTTGGAGTCTTATTTCCAACTAATCTAGTCTCATCTCCAAATTCCATCTCGGTCGACCGCAATCACAGAAACTAGGTGTTGCGTCATCTATAATGGACGTATAGGCTTGTAACTTCATTTAGGGCCTCGACCCAAGTGGGATGTGCCCAACCTGGTGGAGCACGACTCTAGAGACCCCATGGTCGTCCTCCCACCTCTTTAAATAACTAGGTACCTCTTCAGGGTTTTTCAGGTTTTGTTTAGATTAAAGTTTAGCTTTGCTACTTTGCCATATAATCTCGTGACTTGTTAGATCGTTACGGAATTCTAACTTGTTATTTGTATTCAATTCTTATTTGCAATTTACATTGCTTTTTATCTCGCTCTTGCTTGTTTCTTCGATTTGCTTGCGGGAACAAGGTTGATCTACACCCGTACGATATGGGAGAAACGTTTACGACCTGACTACAACCGTACGAGACGTTGTTGTGTTACGCCTTAACGATCGATACACCTTTTCGTGGGTTGTTGATCTTGCCGGTATAGATTAACCTTATTCCTGCAAGCAAATAAAAAAAAAACAAGCAAGAACAAAATAAAACCAATCTAAATTACAAATAGCAATTGAATATAAATGATAATTTGGGATTCCGTAACGAGCAAACAGACGATCTAACAAATCACGGGATTACACGGCAAAGTAGAAAAGCTAAACTTTAATCTAAACAAAACCCGAAAAAACCTGAAGGGGTACCTAGCTATTTAAGGAGGTGGGAGGATGACCATGGGGTCCCTAAAGTCATGTTCCATCAAGTTGGGGCGCACCCCACATGGGCCCTACTTGGACCGGGGTCCCAGACGAAGTTATAAACCCATAGGCCCATTATAGGTGATGCAACACCTAGTTTCTGTGATTGCGACCGACTGAGATGGAATTTGGAGATGAGACTAGTTCCGTTGGGAAGAAGACTCGAAGAGCTTTCCATCGAGTACTCACGGGCTAAAAACGGAGCTCGTATACACACATTGGGAATCAGCACTGTTGTAGGTGACCGAATTGGAATCCAGAACTTCTGCGACTTGATCGCGATGTCTTCCAGTTGAGCTAATGTGAACTATGGTTGTATCTATGGTAGCCATGGTCACGCCACATACACTTTATGGAAGTTGAATTAGCGTAGTATTCTATAAAAAAGGTAAGCGTTCTTAAGGCTTATAAAGTAATTATTATGATTAGCAAAGCATATACCATCTAACTTGGGGTATAGACGAATACCTGGTGGAACCTCCTCATCAGATTCATCACCTGAAACATCACATCTCAAGAATTGTGATTATCATGAAGCCAAGTGTAGGGGAAACATTAGAGATGACCAATTTACCTTCAGAATCAGTGAATTTTCCCAAATTCTTTACTTGATAGCCACAAAAGGCAACTTTGCTGATTAGTGAGGTGTGGAATAGTTGAAAGTTCTTCTTGAAACAGAAGTCAACCTTGATATGCGGATGCCTTTTGGAGGAAAGCGTCCCAATCGCAAACTTCTCATCATTAACTTCGACAAATACTTTCACATTGGAGTCTTTTAGCCCGTAAGCCTCATCAAGGGCTACCTGCGATTTAAGTTATAACAGTAAGATGAGACATCACTATAAATAATGAGACCTGGTAAGAAAATTGATAATATGAGAGATAACAAGTACTCCCTCTGTCTCCATCCTAGAATATAGCAACCTAGAACCCAACTTATTACAATCCTAGGTTGCTATATTCTGAGATGGAGGGAGTAGAACATACCGATGTTAGATGATACAGGGTATCCTCAGGACAAAAGATCTCCTTCTTATTGCACGGCTCAATTACCACTCCTAATAAACAATAACATTAATCACAAAGTTGTTTTTTTTTAATCTTAATGAGACAGTTGTTATTTAAATACACTAAATTGGAAAGAGGAAACAAACCCCAAAAATCGACGTCCATTGCTGCTTTTGTTATTTTCTTCCCGAGCTTTTAGAGATTTGGCCTGTTAAATCAAATCAACAAATGGATTAAATCAGCATATAATTATCTTCTAGATTGACATGACTAACATTTAGGTCAACAATAGATGCACTACAAAGATCTCCAATGCATGCATAATTATTGTTAGTTATGAATGCGCCAACATCAGATTAAGACCATCCCAGAAAGAATTTCACTTGGGAAACCCAACTTTATAATGCATGTAAAATCCTAGATTTTACAGGAACTCAAATATATGTACTGAATAAGGCTAACCAATCAGACAAATAATTAGTTCACCTAGAATTTCAAGGTGCTAAAAGCATGCTAGATCAAAAGGGACTAAAAGAAAAAAAAAATTACAAGAAAATACATTTGACTCTCAAAGTCTTCATTTGCCAAAGAAAGCAAATGTAAAGGGCGGCGGGGAAACACTATTAACATTATGGTCTAGGGCTTATGAGCCGGAGAGAGATAAGAGATGAAGCGTCTACCTACCACCCACCCCGCTCAGCGATCAACTGCTATAACGGTCACTGGCTAGATAAAGCCCCTATTGAATCGTCCTTGTCCCGGGCGGACGTTGTACAGGCCCCGCCGGTCAGCGCCTGCCCTCCTACCCTATCGTAGGTGGATATTGAAGCCGGTTTGGCATCTGGTGCAACACAAGGTGTAAAGAAGGGTTCGCTGCCATCTGGCCAACAACCGCATTTACTCGTTCTGTGTAGCCAGCTCGCCCTATCCTGCGTTGGCTCCAGGTGAGGTGCTTCCGGTGTCTAGGGATAGGCCATCTTAAGGTAGATTGCAAGGGGAACATCGGATGTTATCGTTGCTGGTACCTTGGCCATGTTGAGCATTTCTGCAAGTTTAACAAAGAAGAGCACAAGCGCTCCCCTGTAGCTGACGGCTCCCATCCTTGCCACGCTGCGGTGGCGATGTCCTTTGCGCTCATTATGGCTACCACTCTCTCTCGTGCACGCGGAAGAGGGGGGCTGCTACGACGGCTGTTGTACCCACTCATAAGATGGATTGCGACGATGATATAGGTGTTGGCGATCCTTCCATGTACCCACCCTATGGCTTTTGTGTCCTCTCTTGGACCCAAGGGATGGTGGAGATCGAGCAGCGTCTGTGCAAGCAGGCTTTGGAGGCATCCGTCTTGATGGGGCGCTGAGAGATCTCCTTGGCCATGGTGGTGTTGATGAAAAATCCGCGTCCAGCCGATGATAATGAATCTGTGTTGACGCGAACCGTGTCGACAAACATACGATGGCTTGGGAGATTTGCTTAGCTCCAGTGTAGGTCCTAAAATTGATGAGATGCGGGCATGCCATTCAGTTTGATCCTGCAACTGACAAGAACAGCATATCAAAAAGCCGATCGGCTGACGAGCCGATATAGTGATACTAGCCGATGTTGATACCAGTCGATGCTGATGGGGTTTTGAGCAATCGGCTATATGTCCAATGTAGAGTCTGACTCTTGAATGAATAATGATATAAAGATAATCAACTGATGATAATGTAATAAAATAATATATAATTCAATAGAAACCAATTAGTCAATAATGATATGATAGAATAATTGCTTGATCCGAAGGTTAAATTAAATCCATAAGATTCGATAATCAATGAAACCTTTGTTGCAATCGGCTAAAACCAACTTGTATGTAATCCTTGTAAGCCAATGCAATGTCCAGATAACTCATCGACTGAAATCGCAATGAAACCCTTATTGGCAATCAAAGGCAGCTTAGTTTTTATGATTCTAAGCACGACTTAGTAGGTCAAATCCAATTGATGCAGTTCTAAATATGAAAAGAAACATAAAGTCTAAACAATCAAGTCTTAGACTAATTTTCAAGGTGGTGGATACCTTAGCTAATCTAAATTGATAAAACAATTTAGCTGATACCAACAAAACCCTAGAAAAGATCTGTCCTATAAAGGTAAATTGAGACATCGACTTAGATTAACTAAGATATATGATAAATAGGTGTTTACGCCGACACAATTAGTGTCGAGGCCCTAGCCCCGCCAATACAAACAACCATAATTAGTCTTACCCCTTGTCGGAGATTGAAGCCGATGCAACCCAACTTGAAACAAGAACTCATCGAGAAAGACGAAAATAAAAAGGGTGGCGATGCGCCAAAGTTCTATTGATTGAGAGATAGATTACAAAAACCCCAAGTGTACATATTTATACCCATGGGTAGATACTAGTCCATATCGAACACGTCATATATTTTCTAAAGATAAAAGGAAAGATAAAAGTCTTGATCGGACACTAAATAAACATTTCCTAAAGATAAAAGGAAATTACTACATCCTACCTAATTAATACTCCCTCCGTTTCAGGTTATAAGATGTTTTGACTTTGGTCAAAGTCAAATTGCTTCAAGTTTGACCAAGTTTATAGAAAAAAATAGTTATATTTTCAACCCAAGATAAATTCATTATAAAAATATATTTAATTATTAATTTAATAAAACTAATTTGGTAATGTAAATATTACTTTATTTGTCTATAAACTTAGTCAAACTTGAAGCAGCTTGACTTTGACCAAAGTCAAAACATCTTATAACCTGAAACGGAGGGAGTAGATAGAATTAAGTCACCATGCCGTAGTCTTCACGATTCCTTCTTAAACTCGGTCTTTTCTGGATAAGTTTCTGTCGACTGACTGCTCTTTCTTTAACCGAATCCACTAAAGAATCTTACCAAATTTTGCCGTTAACAGGTGATTGACGCGTTGGGCCGTTCCTGTGGCATCCTGTGGGCTAACGTTAGAGTTGGTGATGAGGCCCTCTAACTTTACGGGGACTGCACAATGGTGCGGCACACAATCCAGCCACTTCCAGGTAGACAATACCTGGTTGTCTTTTGCCGGTGGCACCACTCTACCAACACAAGGAGTACCAGGATGCCATACGTCATCAGGCTAGCAATTGAGGGCCTACCTGCTCATACCTGTGAGCCAGAGGCCCTCAAGCACATCCTCAACAAGCTCAACCGCTAGCTTATCGAGCACTTTGAGCCACTCTACCAACACAAGGAATACCAGGATGCCATACGTCATCAGGCTAGCAATTGAGGGCCTACCTGCTCATACCTGTGAGCCAGAGGCCCTCAAGCACATCCTCAACAAGCTCAACCGCTAGCTTATCGAGCACTTTGAGCCAGCGGATGCATGCACGTTCAAGGTGCTTGCCTGGGCAGTAAATCATTCTCTGATCCCTAAGGAGCCGCCTCTGGACATCTCAGAACTGATGGTGGAATGGTGGTTGTCCAGAACTGATGGTGGAATGGTGGGAACCACCAGAGGACGACCACCTTGACATGTTAGGCGCTATCAGTGTAAACACCGCCACGCCCACTCCTTAAAGCCGTGCTTGACATTCGGCCTCCTCATCTTGGAGACGGTCGACCCGGTGCCCCCACCTCCTGACACCCTGCTTGCACACGTACAACACCTCCCTTGGCTAGATTGACGGCACCAACCCTAGGCCGGTGCTAGGCAGGACATGACGAGGGAGGGGGGAGGCGTATCGTTTCGCATGACATGGCACCGGGATGACGTGGCGCCTTTTTCTTCCAAGGAGTTATCATGTCCGGCATTCGCCTCGGCGTGCTTCACCACTAAAAAAAATTATGCTTTCAAGATCTTCCTCAGGATCTCCATGGCAATGCTGCATTTATGGAGCCAGTGAATTCCTAGCCAGTAACCTCAGCTGCTTCCCCGCCTGAGACAACCACTGCTTTGCTCTTTTTTACAGCCAAGTAGGAGACGAGAAGTTCCAAACCATCAGGAGGCGACAACATGCTTGGGCCAAGCAAGCGCTTCTCCAGCCTAATTACGACCTTCTCTAGGCGCGCAGCCCCGCACGACGCGAGGGCCAGGAGGGTGGTTGATCTGGATCGATCGGCGGGCCAGGCTAATGGGCTGGTTGAGCATCTCAACCTAAGCCAACCTAAGGTGACAGAGGTTGCAAGGTGGCCCAGAACGACATGTCGTCGAGGGCTCCAAGTGATAAAGCTAGGGCTACCCACTCTGCAGCAATCCTCGTCACCGTTTCTGCCCAACCGCCATCAGCTACAAAGGCGGCGTGTTCTTCACAAGGCAGCACCCCATTGGTTGTTTAAGCAATGGCGGACGTCATGCAGTCTCCAGCATTCTTGGTAGTCAGCCCCGCGCGTTGGTTTAGAACAAGCTAGCGGTCTTGTTCACACCACACCACAATGGGCGTATAGAAGTGAAGAACGGCGACAAGCAAGTGCACACGACGACCAAGGCGCAATGATCCATAATGAAGAGTTTGGGCATCATGGCGGATGAGAACAAGGTGGATGAACATGATATCCTTTGATACCTAGGGCTATTCAAGAGTCCTCTCGCTCCGTCGCATGTTTAGGCCCTTGCTACCTTGTGTGATTTGCAGGCGCATGCTGCTATAGAAGCTCGGTAAGCATCTATTAAGTTTGTGCCCGTCATGGACTTCTATTTCTTATGTCATCGTGTTGTATGTTGGTGTGGAATGTAAGGGGGCTCAATCAGGTAAGGAAGAGGTCCCTAGTCGCTGAAGTGGTTCAAAATGCCCATGTGTCCATTATCAATTATCAGAATCCAAATTAGTTGTTGTTGGTAAGGTGTTTATCGCCAAGTCCTGTAGTCCTGTAGTATCGGTTTTGATGTGTTCGATTTCCTGCCGACTGATGGTGCGATGGAAGGGGGAGGGTGTCTCTTCACAGCCTAGCGAAGCAATCGATTCGTTGTCTCGTGTCAGAAAAGGAACTTGGTCACTGAGCTTGTGTTCTACCAATTTTTAAGGGCGGAAGGGGGGGAGTAGGGATGGCAATGGATCGAGTCGGGCACGGGTAGAGCAAAACCATGCCTGACCCGACACCCAACTTTGCCCACCCGAACTCTACCCAATAGGGTTAGCGGGCAAAACTCTATGCCCATACCTATGCCCGACGGGCACAGGTATGCCCGGTGGATACCCAGTGGGCACGCCTTCCGCCTGCCGTTGCTGCCGCCTGCCGTCGCTGGCTCACCATTGTCGTCAATGTCGTCGCCCTGAGCCACCATTGTATGCATCACGCTAAGACGCCATCGCCGCCATCGTGGCCCTGAGCCGCCGCCACAACGGTGAGAAGGGAGCGGAGCGGTAGCAGCAGTGCAATGGAAGAGGCAAGGAGCGGTGGCGGCGTGCGCTCTCTCACCAGATCTAGCAACAGCAAACACCAGATGCAGTCAGGTGAGCGACGGCAGCGGCAGCAGTGAACTCATTGCCGCCTGCATGAGTTGCCGCCGCCGCTTGTTGCGCCGCCGCCGGACTAGGGAGAGAGGTAGACGGGAGAGGTGGGGGTGGGGAATTAGGTTAGAGTTTAGTGAGTGAGTATATGTGTCTCTGTTAATGGGCCAAATGGACTAAGAAGAAGGGGATGAGAATTAAGAGATGGGCAAAAAATAGCTAATATATATATATATATATATATATATATATATATATATTATGTACATGTATCTGGTCGGGCATAGGTTACTCACGGGTAAAATTCAAAACCCGGCTATTGCCCACTATATCTTCAAGCATCGGGTGGGCATGCCCATAGGTAAAATGTTACACCCATGCCCGTGCCCATCGAGTCGGGTATCCGCGGTTACCCGGACCCATGGGCAAAATAGCCATCCCTAAGGGGGAGGGGGAAGGGGGAGGATGTATGGGCCACGGTTGGTGCAAAGGCAAATTGTCATTCCTGGAAAAGGTACTATCGGTCGGGCAAGAGTTTGTGCAAGGGGCCTGGTGTATTGTCGGGAACTTCAACCTTTTGGCAGCGGAATCTGATAAAAACAATGGCAATGTTAGTAGAAGGCTGATAGGCAAGTTCAGGGATGTCATGAATGCTTTGGAGCTTAGGGAGCTGTACCTTTTTGGTCGGCGCTATACATGGAGCAGCGAGCGAGAACGACTGACTCTTTCCAAGATCGATAAGGTGGTAGTGAATGCTGATTGGGAGGAATCGAGGAAGTATACAAGGATGCACACCTGCAAGCCCTCAACTCCTAAGCCCCGGATCACTGCTCGCTTCTATTGACTTGTGATCAGCCGATGCACCAGCACCGAAAGTTCAAATTCGAGGCCTTCTGGACCCGGATGGAGTGCTTCGATGAGGTTGTGCAGCAAGCATGGAATTCAGCTCGACCAAGTTCCAACTTCCAACGCGATTAGTGCCTTCCATTTCAAGCTTCGGTCAGCGGCGTCGATGCTAAGAACCTGGGGATCAAACAGAATTAGTGCCCGCATGATGCAATTGGCAGCGG